TACTGGCGAGGGCGATGGTCGTGAATATGTCTCAACTCTTTTGTGTTGGGTGCCTTTCTTGGATAGAGCACTGGTCACGCGTTTCCTCCTCCGCCTCCTCCTTCGCCTCCTCCTCCTCCTCCGCCTCCCCCTCTGCCTCCGCCTCCTCCTCCTCCCCCTCCTCCTCCTCCTCTCCTCCTCCTCCTCCTCCTCCTCCTCCTCCTTCTCCTCCTCCTCCTCCTCCCCCCTCATCCTCCTCCTCCTCCTCCTCCTCCTCCTCCTCCTCCTCCTCCTCCTCCTCCTCCTCCTCCTCCTCCTCTCCTCCTCCTCCTCCTCCTCCTCCTCCTCCTCCTCCTCCTCCTCCTCCTCCTCCTCCTCCTCCTCCTCTCCTCCTCCTCCTCCTCCTCCTCCTCCTCCTCCTCCTCCTCCTCCTCCTCCTCCTCCTCCTCCTCCTCCTCCTCCTCCTCCTCCTCCTCCTCCTCCTCCTCCTCCTCCTCCTCCTCCTCTTGGTTCTGCCTCCTGCCTCCTGGCCTCCCTAGCTCCGGGGCGCTGCGAATTGCGAGATTGTCGCCATTTATCGTGGGTTCTGGGAGGGCCGGTACAGTGGTGCCCCACGGAGATCCAGACTAGACCTCGCCGCCCCTGGGACTGCGCTGCGATCCGCGGGGCTGTCGTCACTCTCACTGCTTCATGCGCCACTTTCGTTGGCTCACAGGAGTGCCCGGCAGTGGTACCTTACGCAGACCCAGATTAGACCTCGCCGTCCTTTGGGGGCTGCGGTCGCGAACCTGTCGCCACGTTTGCGGGCGCCTGGGAGGGCCAGCGCAGTGGTGTCTTACGCAGACCCAGACTAGACCTCGCCTCTCCAGGGGTGCTGCGATCTGCAAAATGGTCGCCACGTTTGTGAGCTGCGATCTGCGAGACCGTCGCCACTTTCGCGGGCCCCTGGGAGTGCCAGCGCAGGGGTGTTTTACGCGGATCCAGGCCGGACCTCGCCGTCTTTGGTGGGCTGCGATCTGCGAGCCCATCGCCACGATCGTGGGCTCATGGGAGGGCCAGCGCAGCGGTGCCTCACGCAGACCCGGACTGGACCTCGCGGCGCCCAGGCCCGCAGCGCCTTGGCGCGCTGCGAGCTACGAAACTGTTGCCACGTTCGTGAGCTCCTGGGAGGGCCAGCGGTGGTGCTCCACACAGACCCAGACTAGACCTCGCGGCGCCATGGTGGGCTGCGATCTGCGAGTCCGTCGCCACTTTCGTGGGACATGGACGTCCGTGCCGCCGCTTCGAGGGTCCAGTCGAGCCCAAGCTGGTGGAGGGGATCGCGACCCTCAAAAGCAAGCTGCTGGAGGGGATCCCGACCCTCGAGAGCATCCGATTTTTTTGTTCCCACGGATGGCCAGGCAGGGATCTAAACACAGGTGCATTGTCTGTGGATGTGCCAGCTTGAATCGAAGAGGCATTGCAAAATCATTCTGCTTCGGGCGATCCCGACCGAAACCTTCGGCGCTTGGCCTCAACGGTGCGCGCGCCTACTGGAACGATGTGCGCAGTGCCTGGCGGCGTCGGCCAGCGCGGCGGCGGGGCCAGGTCGCGAGTTGAAGTTATCATATATTATGGCCTGCTATGCTAATATGTGGCGATATGCTACACTGTCGTGGTATGATATGTTCTGCGATGGAGTGCAATGATATGGAATGTTCTACCAAGGTGTATTATGTTGTCCTCGGTTATGCTATGTTATGGTATGGTGTGCCGCCTTATGTTATACCATGCTGAGATATGATATGTTGTGCGATGGTTTATCATGCTTTGGTTAGAAATGGCATTGCTATGTTATGCTATGCCGTGCTATGGCATGCTCGAGTTATGTTATGATATAGTATGGTGTGGCATGTTGTGTTCTGGCGTGTTTGCCGCTATGCTTTGCTGTCGTATCATGGTATGTTTGGTGACGATGCCATGATATGATATTAGATGGCAATGTGTTTTATGTGATGCTCGGCTATGTTGTAGTATGTTGTGGTATGTCGTGTTATGTTGTGTCATGTTCTGCTCGGATATGCTATGCGATATGCTGTTGTCAGCTGTTTTGACCTGATATTGATGTGTTATGTCCTGCCATGTTCTGTCATGCTCTTGCTCTGTTCTGTCATGTTTTGTTGTGTAATATTGTGCTCTGTCGTGTTTGTCGAGGGCGCGAGGCGGGATAATCGGGACACTCGGGACAACTTGGGGTCTGGCGGCCGCGGCACACAGGGTGTGTTCTGTCGTGTTTGTCGAGGGCGCGAGGCGGGATAATCGGGACACTCGGGACAACTTGGGGTCTGGCGGTCGCGGCATACAGGGTGTGTTCTGTCGTGTTTGTCGAGGGCGCGAGGCGGGATAATCGGGACACTGGGGACAACTTGGGGTCTGGCGGTCACGGTATGAAGGATGTGTTCTGTCGTGCTTGTCGAGGGCGCGAGGCGGGATGACCGGGGACACTCGGGACAGCTTGGGGTCGGGCGGACGCGGTATGCAGGGTGGGAGTGGCCGGGAGTCTTCTTTTAAAGTCTAACGACCCCAACCTGCCCGGTGGTGAAAAGCAGGCTCGGCTTCTGTAGAAGTGCCAGTCTGAACCCGAGAGCCCTTGCACGGGCAGATCGTCGAGGAGCCCCTCTGCTCGAGTCGGCGAGGGGCTCCCTTCTCTGAAGCCAAGTGGCGCCCCCCCTGCGCGGGGGGAGGGACACAGGGGGGAACCCCCTCCCCCCGGGGGGGGGGCGTGGTGGGACCCCCCCCTTCGGAGGGGAGGGAGGGAGGAGTGGCGTGGGGCACATCGTTCGTATCATCACGACCGCCCCCGTTGTACATCGTGTGGGCCTTTGGTCATTATTTTCCGAGCGGCGTTTCGCTAGAGGGCTCTTACCCGAACAAGACAGGACCACCGAAGAGTCCCATTTGGGGAGCGGTGCGCCCGAGGACGCCCAGGTTGGCAGCCGTGTCGCGTGAGATGTCCTCCGAATGTGTTTGGGAATCGTGCTGCAGCCCCAACACGGGCTGCATGTTCCATGCTCGGTCCAGGCGGCCGCGATCCCTTGCCACAAGATGCGTTGAGGTGGTGCTCACGGCCAGGCACTCACCCTAGGAAGACCTGGGAATGCACGTTGTTTCACGAGCCGAGCCTCCCACTCCTCGACCCGCCCGCCTCCTCACTGTCAGAGGGCTGTGAGTTGATCCTCTGGCGCGCATCGGTCGCTACTTGGGCCAAACCCTTTCCCCCCCTGGGTAAAGGTTACGATCGTGCGTAGGCTTATGTCGGGCGTGTTCCCCTCGAGGAGGTATACTCAAGAACAGTAGAAGAAGTAGTCAGGGGACGATGTGTCGTGCTCTGTGGCTGATTTTTGATTAGTTTGACTGTTTGCCATTTTCTGTTCAAAATCCACCTGTAGGAGGACATGCTCGACCTAAACGGGGGGGGGGGGGGGGGGGCTTCGACCCACCCCCACATGCTGGTGTCCGCGCGCGCACGACGGCGATCGCAGCGCGCCCCCGTCCCGACATGCCCCACCCGGCCCAAGCGCTACCGCTACCTGGAGCCCCCCCCTTCGGAAATTGGAGCACATACATTACCAGTGACGGGGCGCTTTTCGGTCCCAGGACTCTCTGGGGGTCGGGGACGACGTCGGGGTTGTGTGCTGCGCGTGTTGTTTCCCCGCTTCCCTGGGGAAGCTACGAAAAATGTATACGCCTGGATCCCGTATACACCAGGATCCGCTTTTCTGTGCGAGCTTCAGCGCGGTGCCGGAAAAAAGCGTCGGTGTATAGAGTTCGGTTCTTTACCCCCTCTCCCCCCGGATAATGGCCGCCACCCAGAAGTAAAACAGACATACGATTTGGCCGACCTCCTGCTCCTGGCTCCTGGCCGACCTGCTCCTCGACCCTCCTCTTCCCACTTGCTGCTCCGAGGGTGCTTTGCTGGGGAAACGTTGTGGCCCAACAGCCCTCTTTGGGTCCTGCGGGGTCCATGGTGAGCTTGCCGGGGGTCACTTCCGCGGCGGCGCCGACGTGTAGCGCACGCAGAGGCGCCGCCGAGCCGCGGCCGCGCCCGAGGCTCAGTCGTCCGCGACCGCCCCTCCAGAGGGGCGCAGCGCGCGCTGCGCGGGAGGGGCAGTCGTCGGGCTATGGGTTCCCCACAGCTCGCAGGCCTCAGGAGGGGGCTGTTGCCTGTTACTTTTTCGACCGCCCACCACCCGACGCCTGGGCTGGGCCCACGCACCTCCGGCGCTCCGTGCCGGCCCCGGCCGAGGCCGCGTTGCTGGCCAGGCGCCGCGGAGCTCCGCTGTGGGCGCGTGCGCCCACAATTCAGGAAGACACCTACCGGGTTGAGAGGATGGGGCTGAGAGAAGTCAGGATGTAATTGCCCGTAGGCGGTCGAAGGCATCGCGCAGTGCATCCGAGTGCTATTCCTCCTGCCCTCCATCCTCCCAACCCGTTCCTCCCAACACGATAGCTGTCCTCCCCAACAATGAAGATGCCTCACGCGAAAGCCATGCGGCGCGAGAGCCCGATGGAGATGCCCAGCAGGGCTCGCGAAGGGCCTGGTCCCTTTTCCCGCTCGGAGCGGCCCGAGGGCCCTCAACGGCAGCGGCCAGCAGCAGCGCACAGCAGCAGGAGGGAGGAGGACAGAAGACCAGAGAGGAGGGACACGAAGGATGGACCGAAAAGATGAGAAGAGGAGCGAAGTCGCTTGACACACAGGGCGCCGAGGGAATTGCGCGGGCAGCTGTGCCGCACGCTCCCTCCCCTCCTCCTCCTCCTCCTCCTCCTCCTCCTCCTCCTCCTCCTCCTCCTCCTCCTCCTCCTCCTGCTCCTCCTCCTCCTCCTCCCTCCTCCTCCTCCTCCTCCTCCTCCTCCTCCTCCTCCTCCTCCTCCTCCTCTCCTCCTCCTCCTCCTCCTCCTCCTCCTCCTCCTCCTCCTCCCCCTCCCCCTCCCCCTCCCCCTCCTTCCCTGCCCTCCGCGCGCGCCCCCGGCACCGAACCGGCAGGCGGCGCGCGCCGGCCCGCGTAGCCCCACGGGAGGGGGGCCTCCCAGGGGCCAGGCGGGCCGATGGCCCCCGCGGCCATGGAGGGTCCGGCCGCGCGGCCCGGGGAGTCCGGCGAGGACCCGGGCGCGCGGCCCCGACATTCCCAGACCCCCTCGAGTCATGAAAAAATCACGACGGGAGGTTTTTCCTAATTTTCGGCCACCGGGGGCCCTCACCGGGCCTCGGAAGCGTCAAAAAACGACTCAGGATGCAAAGCCGGTCATGGGGAAAGGGTCGGGACCTCTGGGGGTCGACGTGATGAAAAAACCATTACGTCGGGGGTCTGGGTTCGGGGGCGGCAAGGAGGGGGGTGGTGACTAGGGGGGGATGGATATCATGGCGGGGGCCATGGTATTTCCCCAGATCTCATGGCGCCTCCTCTTATTTCATGACGTCCCTGGCTTCCCCGCTGGGCCGCGCACATGCCGCCGGCCATGATTTGCACCCCCCTTCTTGGGCACCCCCCTCTTGGCCGCTCCCGAGACATAGGGGAGCAAAAGGTGGCATAAACATAGACATTCGGAGGTCCGCGCGGATTTCTCGGATCGGCGCTGGACCCCCCTCCCTGACGTGCAGAGGGAGCCAGGGGCGGCGCCGGAGGCGCCGCCGAGGGGCCCCAGCGCCGATCCGAGAAGTCCGCGCGGACCTCCGAGTTTCTATGTTTATGTCACTTTCTGTTCCCCCACGACAGCAGCGTGGAAGGCCAGAATTCTCGGCGGTGGTCGTCTTCTTCTGCGTTGTTCTGCGGATCGGCGCGGGCCCTCGCACCCCCCCCTGCCCCCCCCATGGAGTAGGTCTTGGCCGTTTTCTGCGCCTGTGTCGAGCCGGTGGAGTCTCCCCCATGGGACGCACTGCTGCCAACAGTCGCACTGAGCAGAGATCTGGAGCCAGACCCCCTCTCGGGCCGGACGAAAGGGGGGATTGGGAAAGGGGGGGGGTACGAAATTTGCTGCATGCAGCTGGTTTCGGCCTCACCGAGGGGCCCATTCCTCGATACATAGCCGCCTCCGGCGCCAGGAGGCGCCGGGAAAATCAGCTACGTGAGCTGATTCTCAACCCCCCCCTTCGCTATCCCCCCCTTTCGCCCGACCCGACCCTCCCGCCCCTCCTTCCGCCCAATGCCGAAACGACGCTCACATTCTCGAAGAAGAGCAAAGACCATCAACATAAACTTTGGGCGCTCCGCGCGGATTTCTTGGATCCGCGCTGCCCACCCCCCTGGCGGCGCCTCCGGCGCCGCCCCTGGCGCGCGAAATCTACGCAGAGCGCCAACAGTCAATTTTGATTGCATGGTTTCTTGTTTTCAATTCGTACCTTCAGAAGAACGTGCGCCTTCAGTGCAAGTGTTTACCTTCAATGAGAAAAGTGTGCCTTCGGTGGGGAGAATCTGCCATCAGTGAGACATGTGTGGTTTCAGTGCGAGCTTCTTTGCTCCAGTAAGAGTTTGAATCATCAGTGAGGCATATTTGACTTCAGTGAAAATATGTGCATTCAATGAGGGCCTGTTTGTCAGACACGTCCGGGCATGGAAAAGTCACGACGGAAGCTTTTTGACAGTGTTCGATCTTTTGGGGCATTCGCCAGACCCCAGGACCTTGAAAAAACGCCCCAGGGGGTAAAACCAGCCCGGGGGGAAGGATGGGGATTTCCGGGAGACCCTGTATTGAAAAAGGAGAGGAGATGGTATGACGAAGTTTGTGATTTTCTGCGTTCTCGCGGAATAGCGGCAACGCCGTTGAATTGGTAGGAATATGTTCGTGACACCACGGTTTGGCGAACATGGGAATCTGAGCTTTGCAGGATGCACTAGAGTAGCGCCACGGTGCTTTCCCATCCCTCACCGTAGTGGGACAGGCTCGCCTGATGCGGTGGCCCGTCCGTCCGTCTTGCATTGGAAAAAGAGCAATCCGATTTCTTGGGGTTTACCAGGGGTTCCCCTCTTTCGGCCCATCGCGGGACCACCCAATACTTCAGGGGTTTGTCGGCAGCAGGAGAGGCGAGGAGGCGAAAGCCGCTGAAGGTTGTTCAATCATCTTGAACTTCGACAGGCGTCCTGGAGGCAATATCGCCGACCATCTTAGGTCATCTGGGCCTTATCGAGGCTATCTTGGGCCATCGGATGGAGAGGCATGTGCAAACAATCCGGACGCGATCGGCGCGACGCTCGCAAGCGTCGAATTTTGATACTCGGGGCGTGCCGCGGGCTCGTAGTATCGACAGACATCCCGTCGCGTTGTCCAGGGTGGGGTGGGTGGGTTGGTCCGAGCGGACCATAAGCTTCGTGATGCTAGAACATGTAAGTTGGCTCTGTAATCTCGAGCCTCTCTTGCAAATGATAATTGGTGATGTGATGTAGTTGGTCGACCCTTTGGACCATGGTGGACAAGTATGCTGAATACGTGTGCCTCGATGTTCGTTGCTGCACTGTCCTGTTTCTTTCGCCCGTCTGTTCTGGTGAGATGGACGTCCTCCCCCCAGACAGCACAGGTAACTCCGTGGCACCTGGGAAGGAATATCATCAGCATCATCATCAGCAGCATCATCATCACCACCATCATCATTATCATCATCATCATCATCATCATCATCATTCTCCGCCTCCGCCAGGGGAGGGCAAGGTGGTGAGGACGGGGGGTACGGCTCCAACGCGTGGTTCGGGGTGGGGGGCGATCGGGCGGCAGCGTGTCCCTTGAGGGAGGCAGCCCTTGGAGACCATTGACACGTCAGCGCCCACCCTGGAGGATCCCGCGCTGGCATCTCATCGTGAAGGTCGAGTGTTGGTTTCCCCTGCGTCGTCCACGAAGGATTTCCAGGTCGGCTTTCTCCCAAACGCAAACCATTAGGAAGTCTTGACAGCACATTGCGATGCGACGTGATGATGCCGTCCAGTTTGTGCCACTGTCACGTCTGCACAAGATGTGACTGCGTTTGATTGTGGATGGGTTGGATACCCGCACAATTCCCACATAATCGGTAAGTACCCGCCGACTTGCGATACCGTGCGATGCTAACGCGGTTTCCACCGGCGATGTGGATTAGATCGTGTTTGCTTGGCTTGTTCGGTTCGATTAAGTGTGCCGATCGGCTCAACATGAGCGGCAGATTTGTGTCATATCAATATCCAGAGGTTGAACTGTGGGGTCTGCGGACTGCGCTCCTATACCCTCGCTGGTTCCGCCATTCTTATCCGCGCCGTCGACGCCCAAATTTGGACCTGGCCAGATTCGACCTAGCGGGTCTCGGGCAATCGCCCACGCTTGCTTCAACATCCGTCAGGTTCAACCCGCTTGGTTCTGGCGGTGGGCCAGGTGCAAGTTGGGTTTGTACCAGGGCCTGCTCTGAACCAGTGTCAGGTCCAACGCCGTGAGACCGAAAGGCCTGAGGCAGAACGAGGGGAAAGGAGTGGGGAAGCAGGAGGATAAGGAGGAGGAGGAGGAGGAGGAGGCGAGGAGGAAGAGGAGGAGGAGGACGAAGGAGGGAGGAGCGAGGAGGTAGGCGGCTGAAGGCTGAAGGCATGGAAGCCAGGCCAGGCCAAGCCAGGTCAACAGAGGAGGAGAAGGAGGAGGAGGCGGAGGAGGAGGAGGAGGAGGTGCGGGAGAGAAACGCTACAAGCATAACTTGCAACGCAAACAAGAGACGGCGGAGGAAGAGGAGGAGGAGGGGAGGAGGAGGAGGAGGAGGAGGGTTGGAGGAAGGAGGAGGAGGAGGAGGGGAGGATCGGAGGAGGAGGAGGAGGGAGGCGGAGGAGGAGGAGGAGGAGGAGGAGGGTTTCCTGGCCCGCGGATGTCGAGGACGGCCTGGCCTCGGCTTTCGGCCAGCTCTCCCTGCACGGCCACGGCTGCGGCGGCGACACCTCGGAGGTCGACCGGCGGTGCCCCCAGACCGCCGCGCGCTGGTGGGGCAGGAGGAGGAGGAGGAGCAGCAGAGGCAGCAGAGGCAGCAGCAGAAACAGCAGCAGAGGCAGCAGCCGAAGGAACATAAGTAGGATGAGGAGGGGGTGGAGGGGGAGGCGGCGCAGGAGTAATTGGTGGAGGAGGAGGACTAGGAGCAAGAGGAGAACGAGAAGGATCAGGAGAACGAGGAGGAGGAGGAGGAGGAGGAGGAGGAGGAGGAGGGGCACTCGCCCAGACGGCTCACCGCTCCGTGCTGGTCCGTGCGCGTCAGGGCCCTTGTGCTGCGGATGGGGAGCCCCTCCGTCGGGCGAAGGGGCGCGCGGGAGATCGCCGAGGGAAGCCAAGCAGAACTACTCGCGCACACTCGTCGTCTTCTCATCATTATTATTATTATCAGCATTCGTATTTTTGTTACTACTCGCATCATTATAATGCTTGTTGTTATTGCTACTGTTATTATTACTACTATTAGTACTTTCGTATTATTTTCACTACTAGTAATGTAAGTGGGCTTCGTCTTCTTAATATTAGTTTTCGTCCTCGTCCTCGTCCTCGTCGTCGGCATTGTCGTCGTCGTTGTCGTCGTCGTCTTGTCGCTGTCGGTCTCTGAAGCGCGCCCTCAAGAGAAAAAGCAGCACATCAAACAAAAGCTGCGGGGTCGAAGTTGTTGGACGTTTTCGTGTGTTCCCGGAGATATTCCCGCCTCGGGCTGCCCTCCAGCAGTTGCGCCTCTTCGAGAGGGCTCCAGAGCTGCCTCTGCTGAAGCTGCCTGCGGCACGGTCGCGCCAGGGTCTTCGGGGGAGGAAAGGGTCCCGATGCCGCTGCCTGTCTTTCGTTTTCGCCCTCCTTGGCCTCCTGGGAGGCCCTCGTCGCCACGGCGGGATGCGCCTCGGGGTTCTGTCCAGACCGCCCCCAGGGAGAGGTGCGGGGAGCAGCGGTGTCGGTGCGTTCTGGCCTGAAGAGGAGGAGGTCCTCCTCCTCCTCCTCCTCCTCCTCCTCCTCCTCCTCCCCCTCCTCCTTCTCCTCCTCCTCCCCCTCCTCCTCCTCCTCTTCCTCCTCCATCTGCTCCTTCTCCTCTTCCCCAGGTCTGGCACCTCCCCCTCGTTGCACCCCTGCTCCCGTGCTCGGCTGTGCTCGCGCTGATCACCGCGCGGCGCTCCAGAGAAGGCCCCGCCCTCGTCGGGAGGCCTGCAGGAGCTCGTGGGAGCAGATCGGCGGCGGCTGCGCTGGCGGAGGCCAGCGAGTTTCGGAGGAGGGCGGCGGAAGTTCCAGCGAGACGTCAACAAGTTTGGGCCCATGGCTTTCAGAAGCTGGGCAGGGTTGGACCGGAGGCGGAGGAGGAGGAGGAAGAGGAGGAGGAGGAGGACCATGGCTTTCAACAAGTTTCGGTTGGACCGGCCTTTCCACTCTTTCCAGACCTCGGCAGGTTCCCTCCAGTTGTTCAGGTTTTGCCGGCCTCACCCTGGCTCTTTCGGGCTCGTTTCAGCCTCTGCCAGTTTGCCGGTCCTGGCCACTTCCACTCTCATGAAATATCCACCTCCCACTTGTTCCAGCCTATCCATACGGTCGGACCGAGGTACAGTGGGAAATTTTGCCAAGAAACACCTTGCTTGCCTCCAGGGTGCCCTGAGTCTCTTGGGTTTCGATGGTTTTGCTATGGAAAGCGTGGCGTTCCCACACCAAAAATCAATGGACATCCTGGGGTTCCAGGGTTAGGTTTCTTGTGGGAAGTTTCTTGTGGTCGAGCTCCTACTGCATACGATCGAGGTCGGTTCGGCGAGGGTACCCTGATGTTCTTCGTGTTTGCTGGATGTTCCTGTGCATCCTGGGGAGGGCTACCCTTGAACGTTCTTCAGTGTGGCCGTCGGAGGGCCTCATGTTCTTGATCGGGCGTCGCGTAGTGGGGATGCGATACATGGGGAGGCAGCGAGGGGGCCCCAAAGGCGCCCTTCGGGGCCCGAAAAACGTCCCTTTCTCCCCCTCCTCCTCCTCCTCCTCCTCCTCCTCCTCCTCCTCCTCCTCCTCCTCCTCCTCCTCCTCCTCCTCCTCCTCCTCCTCCTCCTCCTCCTCCTCCTCCTCCTCCTCCTCCTCCTCTCCATCCCTCGCCCCCCTATGAGTTCACGCCCAACTTGAAGTGTGTCCTTCTGGCCCAGGTCCCGCCGTGTGCTCGCACGGCTCGTGCCCAGACATCCGGCGATCTGTTTCTTGGTCCAGGGAGCGGCCCCGGCAGGCCCCGACCCTTTCCCCCCCGTAGGGGCAGCTCCGTCCTCTTGGCATCGCTCTGGCACGAGAACGCTCCCAGAAGACTATCTATCGATCTATCTATCTATATACATATATATATATCGATCTATCTATCTATATATCTATCTATATATCTATATATCTATATATCTATCTATATATCTATATATCTATATATCTATCTATATATATATCGATCTATCTATATATCTATCTATCTATCGATCTACCTATCTATATGTCTATCGATCTATCTATCTATATAACTATATACATATATAGCTATATGTATATCTATAAATCTATCTATCTATCTATATATATATATATATATCTATCTATCTATCTATCTATCTATATATCTCTATATCTATATATATATATATATATATCTATCTATCTATCTATCTATCTATCTATATATGTATACATATATATATATGTGTATATATATATATATATATATATATGAACATATACACATTGCAAACAACCCAAAAAACGCGCGAAACCCGAAAGGGCACGGGGCACGGACGCCCGCCCGAGCCATGGCAAGCCTGTGCTGGCCCCAGGCCCCATAATCGAAGGAGCACGCCTTCGAAGAAGGAGAATTGCCATACACATGAACTTGTGGCGCTCCGCGCGCGGATTTCTTGGATCCGCGCCGGGCCCCCCCCCCCGGCGGCGCCTCCGGCGCCGCCCCCGGGTCCAGCGCAGATCCACGAAATGCGCGCAGAGCGCCAACAATTTTAGTTGGTGGCGTTGTTTCGTCTTCTCTCTGAGGCGACGATACATGGGGGCGAACAGCCCAGGGGCGGGCATTACATCAGAGGGCGCGATGATCAAGTCGGGAGGATGGGGTTGGGAGGAATGAGGATATCCTTGCCCGTAGGCGGTCAAATATGTCTTTCATTGCATCTGGATGCCAGTGCTTATACCCTTCATCCTCCCAACCCCTTCAACACAGTAATTGTTCTCCTCGCCTGGGAGCCTCGCCGAAGGCATGGACCATCGGCGCCCTTGGATCCACGTGTTGCTCTGCGCTGCGCTATTCGCCCCCATCGTCGCCCCCGATCAGGGCCTCCTGAACGGAGACTTCGGGGTAAACCAGGACATCGCTCATATCCAGGCGTTGCAAGGTTGTCCGGGCGAAGGAGCCAGCCATACGCAAGTGTGAGTACCGCAAAGCAGGCAAGACGAAGGAGGGGGATCTCCCTGTGGGGCCACGAAGCGTGCGAGGAGTGTGCCGAAAGAGGCTTGGGGGCCGCCTGTGCCCCCACCCCGTGGGAGATCCGGTGGAGACCCCCTTGTCAAGTGGGGCCACGGAAGGAGTGAGGGGTGTGCCAGGGTGGACATGCGGACGGCCCAGGCAGGGACAGGAGGAGGGAGGTGACCAGCCTGGAACATAGGGAGGTTACCAGCCTGGAACATATCCCTATCCCTATGCTGGGCACCTCCTCATCACGATGCCAATCTTGGGGATTCCCTTATTTTTTGAGGGCGGATCCCTAAGATTGTCATCGCCTTTTGGCGTGTCTATCTTAGGGATAGGGATACGATCGAGGCTGGTAGGGAGGGGCAGCGGGAGGAAGGAGTGGGCGCGGGGCGCTGTCTCTTCCAAAGACGAGGGCCCAGCACCTCGGGAAGTGGTCGAGTCTTTGGCGGGAGCGGCCAAGAGGGAGTTGATGACTACCGGGGGGGGGATATCATGGCGGGGGCCACGATATCTCCACAGATCTAGTGGTGCCTCTCTTTATTTGCATACGTCCCCGCCCCACCCACCCCCTCCCACCCTGGGCCACACAGATGCTTCGGGCCATGGTTTGCGCCCCCCTCTCTTGGACGCCCCCCTCTTGGACGCCCCCCTCTTGGCCAACCCCGACCTTTGGGGCGACATCGCAAAACCATGCAACGTCGTGGGATAGGAATTGGCGCGCCCGAGAAAGCAGCGGCCCTGGGTCGCAGCACACTCCATGCTCCGTTCTCTCCGGATAGAGTTCTCAAAGCCCTGGCTGGGAACGTCCTGTCTCAGGGGGACCTGGCTGAGAGTCGATGAGCAAGCAATTGCACAGACATACACTTTCGGAGCTCCTCCTCCTCCTCCTCCTCCTCCTCCTCCTCCTCCTCCTCCTTCTCCTCCTCCTCCTTTTCCTCCTCCTCCTTTTCCTCCTCCTCCTCCTTTTCCTCCTCCTCCGCGCAGGCCCCGGGCGCCCCCGGCGTGGACCCCCCGGGCCCGTGCGGGCTGATCAGCTCGCGCCGTCGGATTGGGTGCCTACCTTCCTGGTCGAGGCTGCTGGTGTGCGGGCCCCTGCCAGGGCCGCCGGGCGCGCTGGCGGGACCGCCAGAGGCGCCGCCGTGGCCGCAGCGGCCGCCAGCTCCGCCGGGCCCGCCTCTGGTGGTCGCCAGGCTGCCGAGGCCTCGAGCGAGTTCGTCGGCACGCTGGTCTCGGCCAACACTTCCTCCTTCGGCCCGATGTTCGACTACGTGGCGGAGGTGTCGCACGATGTGCGGGTAATTGCCGTGCAGGAGCACCGCATTCCTCAGGCCAGGCTGGGCGAGATGCAGAATCGTCTGGCGGATCTGGGCTGGCATGGGGTTTGGACGGCTGGCTTGGAGACGGCAGCGCAGAGCACAAGCAGCGGCGCCGCGGTGTTGTTCCCGTCTTTCGTGCCCCTCACCACGGCCCCTGGCCTGGCCGACGGGACCCTCGTCCCTGGCCGTGCAGCCGCAGCTCGGGTTCACTGGGGCATCCCGCAGGGCCTGGTCTGCATCAGTCTTTACTGTGTGGACTCCGTGGGCTTCGCGGGGCCCAACTTGGATGTGCTGTGGAGAGTTTTCGAGTACTGTTGCCAGCTCAACGCCCAGGGCGAGGACTTCGTCATCATGGGCGACTGGAATATGGCCTCCGATGTGGAGGGGCTCCGCGAGGCGCTGTTGTCGGTTCGTGCCATTCCCTTCGCCCCCGGGGACGTGACTTGCGTTCAGGGGGAGGGCTCCATCATCGACTTCATGGCAGCGTCGTCGAACCTGGTCTCCAGGCTTGACAGCCAGGTGACAGCACAGCTCGACTCTGACTTGTACCCGCACCGCCCTGTGCACCTGCGGATGCGGGGCTGCGATCGCCCAGCCTGGTGCAGGGTGGCCGACGAGCCCAGGCCGCTCTCGGCGCTGCCCCCTCCTGGGTGTGCCAGGCCGCCTTACGACTGGGGCCCGCTGGCGGCGGATGCCCAGGTGGTCACGGAGTCCGACGGGCTGGTCCAGCTCTGGGACGCCGTGCTGCACGGGATCGACGCCGAGCTCTGCGCGCGCTGGGACAAGGTCGGGGCACAGGCCAAGGCGCACTCGGGCCGAGCGGGGCCCCTCCAGGTGCGCTGGCAGCTTCTGAGATGGCGGCCACGGCGGCGACGGCACTATCGCGACGGTTCCGTTCGACCATGGGTCGTGGCCAAGAGGTGAATGACTCACCTTACGGCTGTTCGTCAGCGGCTGCAGGAGCAGCCCGGCGGCCTGAACTTGGCGGCGGCCATGTGTGACCTGATGCCCTGCCAGTGCTTTGGCGTCATGCGGGAATTGGAGGAGGCCCACCGCTACTTGGTGAAGGTCTCGAGGCAGCGGGCGGTCCTGGCCGCCATCGACCCGACGGTGGCCAAGTACTTGCAGAGGGGCCTCATGTTGCTGGTCTCGCCGCACTTCGACTACTGCGTCGACCTGGTGGTGCGCGTGGCGGACCAGAAACTAAGCGACGCCCAGGCCGCTTCGGAGGCGGCGTGGCGCGGCTGGCTGCAAGAGGCCTTCCTTCGGGGGGCGCGGGGGGCCCACCGTGCTTCCAAGATCGTCCCCATGCAGCCCCTGCTGCAGCTGGAGGGCGAGGTGCAGCCGTATGTGGTGGCCGACGCGGCGCTCCAGGAGTGGGAGGACGTCTGGTCCCACCACGGCGCGGCGTGGCTGCCCAAGCCTGCTGACTTCGACCAGTGGGAGCTGCTGCCGCCGATCACCGTCCAGGACATGCGGGCGGCGATTTGGAGCTACCCGGCCACCACCGCCCGGGGGCCTACTCGCCTGGCGCCCAAGTCTTTCTACTTTGTGTCGGACGAGGGGCTGCGGGCGATCGCGAGGCTCCTGGAAGCCTGCGAGCGGTTGGGCATGTGGCCCGACGGGCGCGTGGAGTCGGAGCTCGTGCAGATGAGCAAGGCGGACGGGGGCAAGCGCCTCATTGCCTTACTCCACACCCTGACGCGCTTGCGGGGGAAGCTGCGCCGTCCCCTGGGGAAGCGGTGGGAGGAGACCCATGCTGCCCCCTGGGTCTGGGGCAATCGCTCCCGCTTCACATCCAGCGACTCGGCATTCGACCTGTTGGACGAGCAAAGCGGCACCTGGGTCAGTGACATGGCCAACTGCTTCGAATTGGTGGACAGCAGCCAGCTTCTTTTGGAGGCCCGGGAATGCAATTTTCCCTTGCGGCTCGTGTGGATGATGATTGACCTCTACCACCAGCCTCGTAGGGTCCGGGTGGGGCCCAGCCTGTCGCTGGCCATGCTGGTCTTCCAGGGCGCGCTGGCGGGGTGCACTCACGCTCCCACGGCGCCCCTGGTCCTGACCCACCGCACGACGGCGAGGCGCAGCGAGATGTGCCCCAACGTGCGGCCCAGGCAGCTGATGGACGACATCACCCTGCACTACGTGGGGCCCCGCGAGGCAGAGGCCAGCCAGCTCGAGGTCGCCGCCGTCGAGCTGACGCGTTGCGTGCAAGGCCTCGGCATGCGGGTCAAGCGGGCCAAGTCTGGCTTTGTTTTCAACCGCGCGTGCTTTGCGCACCGCTTCCGCGCGCGGGCCGTGCAGATCGGCCTGCGCCCGAGGCGGGCGATGCGCAACTTCGGACACGAGCACCACGGGCCGAGGGTGTTCCGGCGGCAGGAGGCGGCGCGCGCGGCGGCCCGCGTCGCGAGGGGCCGCCGAGTGGCCATGCTGTCCCGCGGAGCGGGGCGCAAGGCGGCGCAGCTGTGGCGCATTGGGCTGGCCCCGTCGGTCGCCCACGGCGCGGGCGTCAGCGGCATGGCGGATCATCGGCTTCGCCACCTCTGGCGCGTTGCGGCCACCCTGAATGGGCGGAGGCCTGGCTCTGGATGCACGGCCTACTTGCTGACGCATCCCAGCCCGCGCTTCGACCCGATCTACGACGTCTCGGTGCCGTTGATCCTCCGGTACGCGGGCTGGCTGCGGGGCGGCCGCACGTCCGGCGCCAGGCTGCAGAAGGCTTGGGACGCGGCCCACGCCCAGATCGAGGGCACCACCTTCGGCACGGCGCGTGGGCCGCCCCCGTCCACATGGCTGTCGCTGCGGAGGCTAGGTTGGGAGATGCTCACTTCGGCCCACGTGAGGTCCGACACGGGCGAGGTCTTATCGCTCCTGCGCGTGCCGCCAGAGGACCTTCGCCACCATTTGATGAGGTCCATCGAGCGGTGGCAGGCGCAGAGGCTGCTGGGGCACATGCACCTGGCCTCGGGCGACGAGCAGGTGTGGGTCCGAGGCATTCGCCTCGGCTTGCGCGCGCTTCCGCCGAGGCAGCTGGGCGCGCTGCAGATGCTGTGGTCTGGCCGCTACTTCACTCCTGAGCGGCGGGCAGCTGTGGAATGCTATGGCAAGCTGCATTGCCGTGCGTGCGGCGCCGAGTACGGCAACTACGGGCACATCTGGCCGGGCTGCCCGAAGCTGCTGGATGTGCCGCCGGGGAGCTCCCTCCCTCCGCTGCCCGAGGCCCTCGAAGCCACTAGAGCCATGTTGGCGGAGATCGGCTCGATGTGCCACTTCGACGACCTGGAGTGCGGGTACGGCCTCCCGAGCGCGCCGCACGCGTTCGCGGTGAAGGCCGCGGAGAACGCGCTCCCGACGTTCTTCTGGGGCGGCGCCGAGCCTGCTTCGTGGGGCCCTGAGTCGTGCACAGATGGCTCGGGCTTCGAGTCGGCGCAGCCCGAGTTGACGCGCTGCGGTTGGTCCGCAGTTCAGATTGATGAACACTTGTTGCTTGCCCGGGCCATGTACGGCCCTCTCCCGGGCATCCAGACAGTAGGCAGAGCTGAGAGATGGGCTGTGCTTCGTCTTGTCCAGCACGCGTCTGCCACGCGGCACATCGTGAGTGATTTGTTGAGTTTGGTGTCTGAGGGCGAGTCTTGGGACCCCGCCCTTGAGAGCTCCAGAGGCAAGCATGCTCGGATTTGGAGGCTCATTTTCGGGGCGGTAGGTTCCAGAGCGCCCCCTAGGTTTAGCTGGACCCCTGCCCACAAGAGCCCCGAGGAGGCCCTCTCTCTTGAGATCCCTCTCAGGTGGTGGGCGGGGAATCTGTGAGCCGACTGGTTTGCCAAGCTCGGGGCGTCAGCGCATGCTGTGTCGTCGGTGCACGCTGAGTACCTCTCGTCGGAGCTCCAGCGTGCCAAGGCGATCCTGAAGTATGTCTCTTGGGCGGCCAGCCGAGCGGTCGAGCTCGACCTTTGGCACGACCCGCCCGAGGCCGTCCCCAGGCGTCCCCGTACAGGTGGGCCGCCAGTTCTCAGGCTAATGTCGCACTCCCTCGTTCGTGTCGAGCCCTCAATGGAGGTCCGGTGCCGCAAGTGTATGTGCGTTGCCCGCACAAGCGGGCACCTTGCCCACCTTGTGAATGATGAATGCAAGCCTCTGCCCACCCAAGCGTGGGCCGCGAGGTGCTTTTTCTCGAAGCCAGGTCTGGTGGTTCGCGATTTCAGGGGTCCTATTACGGGTCCGTGCGTGTCCGAGGCCCTGGCGGCAGCTGAGGAGGTCCTGGGGCCCGTGCCTGCGCCGCCAGGGGAGCCACCAGATGGGCTCGAGGCCTTCAGGGCGCTAAATCACATTTTAGTCACCCACGGTGCCATGGTCTGCTGCACCCAGTGTGGGGCCTCGGCGTCGGGGGAGGAGGGGTGGAGCGGTCGTTCGAATCTGAATTCGAAGTGTGCGGGGCCGTCTTCCGATCATGCCACCAGGGCCAACCAAAAGCGGAAGGCCGACATGGTGCAGCGTGGCCGCCACCCCAAGACAGGGGCCCCGTTGTGAATGCAAATCTTTAAGATTTCGGTGTACCGGTCCATCCGTGCAGATTTCGGTGTACCGGTCCATCCGTGCATTCTGGCTGTAACGACGCTACAGTGCGGCAGAGGGGCAGAGAGGCTGCACTCTTCACACCCGTTGCCCCCACTGGCCTGTACTCGTTCATCTTGAGGCATCGCCTCCCCCTCCCGCCTTAAGTGGCTAGGGGTTCCATGTTTCCAGGGTTTTTCGGTTTCTCGGAGAACTCCTACTGGCTGCTCGCCTCCTCCTCCTCCTCCTCCTCCTCCTCCTCCTCCTCCTCCTTCTCCTCCTCCTTTTCCTCCTCCTCCTCCTCCTCCTCCTCCTCCTCCTCCTTCTCCTTCTCCTCCTCATCCTCCTCCTCCTCCTCCTCCTCCTCCTCCTATTCCTCCTCCTTCTCCTCCTACTCCCCCTCCTCCCCCTCCTCATCCTCCTCCTCGGGTGGCCGGTGGACCTCCTCCCCCCGAACGCGCGAAGCGCGCGTGGGGCGGTGCCTCCGGCGCCGCCCCAGGTAGGTGCAGCGCCAGATGCGTGCGGACCTCCGCGACGTTTTGCGTTCACAGTAGGGGCTCGACCACAGGAAACCTTCCACAATAAACCCAACCCTGAGACCCCAGGGCGTCCATTGATCTTTGGTGTGGGAACGTCACGCTTTCCACGGCAAAACCATCGAAGCCCAAGAAGCCCAGGGCACCCTGGAGGCAAGCGGGGTGGTTTCTTGGCATGGGTTTCCACTGCATGCGTGTGCCGTCTGCCCTGGCGGCAGGGACGGCGGGCCCGTCGCGGAGGTACGAGATGACCGAGAAGATCGGCGAGGGCACGTACGGGGCGGTGTACAAGGCCAGGTGCCGGCAGACGGGGAAGACCACGGCGATCAAGCGGATCAAGATCTCGCCAGAGGACGAGGGAGTGCCCTCGACTGCGCTCCGCGAGATATCCCTGCTCCAGGACCTCGACCACCCCAACGTTGTCCGGCTCCACGATGTCTTCAGCGGCCCGACCAGCCCGTGTGGTAGATGGCTTGTGCTGCGTCGTCCGACGACCAAGTGGGCAGATTCCGCCCGTCGCCAGCGGAGAGCTCTGCTCGCAATGTTATGTCAGGTTGTGGAGGCCCTTGGTGTTTCCTCTACCGATCTTCGGATCTGATCGCAGGTCCGAGTCGCTTGGTCCGCTCAGCCGCAGCGGGAGTGTGGCCAGAGCCGTGTCCACCAGCAGCATGGCATTTCCATGAAGATAGTGGAAGAGGAGGGAAGGAAGGGGAGGGAGAAACAGGCGAGGAGAGAAGGGTAGAGGAGAAAGGTTTGTGATGCAGCATGCAAAAACACAGTTGGAGTGAAGGCGCGACGAGCTGGTGGGCGGTGGAGGTTGAGGTACCCCCGGGACCCTCTCGCCTCCATGGCTCAACCCCGTCCAGACGGCAATTATTGTCTTGAGCGCCCCTCTTCTTTCGGGTATGGCCAGGACCCCAGGTAAGGGGACCCGGTTAGTGGTTGGGCCCCGGAGCCCCTAAATTGGCCAGAATCGCTAAACCAGGTCTGCCATAGCTCGTGTTTTTCGGGAGACGGCAGTTCTGGTTAGTGGAACGGGGCGGGGGGGCGTCCCCCAGTACACATATCTAAACCAGGTCCCACTAAACCCAGTTCTGTCAACACCCGATTCTTGTCAGTGTTTATTCACAATCGTCCTGCGTCATGGCAGGGATGGCCAGTGCTGCCAAGACTACGAAATTCAGCGCTGCCCCACTCTTCCAACCCGCTTCCAAAACTCCCCTCTGGGGAAGAGGCGGGGAAGGAGGCAGCGGCGTGGCGATCGTCACCGGAGCCGTGCCCTGCTTTGCGGCGGGGATGGCATGAGTTTCCCCTTTCTGCCGTCCCCACTGGTCGGGGGCGGAAAAGAGGGGGGTGGTGACTAGGGGGGGGGGTGATATCATGGTGTGGGCCATGATCTATTCCCCTGATTTCATGGCGCCTCTTCTTGTTTCATTACGTCCCTGGCCCCCCCGCTGGGCCGCGCACATGCCGCCGGTCATGATTGTTACCCCCCCCCCCTCTTGGACACCCCCTTCTTGGCCGCTCCCGAACTGGGCAAGCCGTGCCGCTGTCCTTCTCCCTCCCCTCGCGATCCCTGTCCCCCTTCCTTCCGCCCCCCCGAGGCCAGGCACCGCCTGCCCTCGAGCCCGTGGGCAGCTGAGGCTTGCCTGGCGGCGGAGCTGCAGTCCAGAAGAAGGGGGGGAAGCAGCCAGAAGGGCGCTGCAGAGGGGTGGGATACCTCAGGACGGAAAAAAAACAGACACAATTAATCGACGATTCCCCTGAAAATATAGGGAAATGTGGGAAGTGGGGGGGAAGACAGAAACCAATAACATATAGGGAAATAGTGTGTGTGTTATTTGTGTGCATTTGTGTGTGTGGTGTGTGTGTGTGGTGTGTGTGTGGTGTGTGTGTGGTGTGTGTGTGGTGTGTGTGTGGTGTGTGTGGTGTGTGTGGTGTGTGTGTGTGTGGTGTGTGTGTGTGTGGTGTGTGTGGTGTGTGTGTGTGGTGTGTGTGTGGTGTGTGTGGTGTGTGTGGGGTGTGTGGGGTGTGTGTGGTGTGGTGTGGTGTGGTGTGTTGTGTTGTGTTGTGTTGTGGTGTGGTGTGGTGTGGTGTGTTGTGTTGTGTTGTGTTGTGTTGTGTTGTGTTGTGGTGTGGTGTGGTGTGGTGTGTTGTGGTGTGTTGTGTTGTGTTGTGTTGTGTTGTGTGTGTTGTGTGTGGTGTGTGGTGTGTGGTGTGTGGTGTGTGGTGTGTGGTGTGTGGTGTGTGGTGTGTGGTGTGTGGTGTGTGGTGTGTGGTGTGTGGTGTGTGGTGTGTGTTGTGTGTTGTGTGTTGTGTGTTGTGTGTTGTGTGTTGTGTGTTGAGTGTTGAGTGTTGTGTGTTGTGTGTTGAGTGTTGAGTGTTGTGTGTTGTGTGTTGTGTGGTGTGTGTTGTTGTGTTGTGTGTTGTGTGGTGTGTGTTGTTGTGTATTGTTGTGTGTTGTTGTGTGCTGTTGTGTGTTGTTGTGTGGTGTTGTGTGCTGTTGTGTGGTGTTGTGTGTTGTTGTGTGTTGTTGTGTGTTGTTGTGTGTCGTTGTGTGTTGGTGTGTGGTGTTGTGTGGTGTTGTGTGTTGTTGTGTGTTGTTGTGTGTTGTTGTGTGTTGTTGCGTGTTGTTGTGTGGTGGTGTGTGTTGTTGTGTGTTGTTGTGTGTTGTTGTGTGTTGTTGTGTGTTGTTGTGTGGTGTTGTGTGGTGTTGTGTGTTGTTGTGTGTTGTTGTGTGTTGTTGTGTGTTGTTGTGTGTTGTTGTGTGTTGTTGTGTGTTGTTGTGTGTTGTTGTGTGTTGTTGTGTGTTGTTGTGTGTTGTTGTGTGTTGTGTGTTGTGTGTTGTGTGTTGTGTGTTGTGTGTGTGTGTGTCCCAGGGCCCCTTCAATACAGTCTTAGAGGGAGGCTGGCTATCTCCACTGCGTCGCGCGGCCCATGCAACCGCGACGGATCGCTTGACAGTCGGCAGGCGGTCACGCGTGCACGCTGTGATCGTGACCGTGTGAGGCATGAGCGAGAAGCCCAAGGCGTGTCCTTCAATGGGCTGGGCCCGGCGTCAAGCATTGGCCTGGCGCCAGACCTCCTTCTGCTATGTGAAGCTGTTCCCTTCGAGGAAATGTTGAGCGGCCACGGGAGCCGCGTGCGCAGGTGGCGCTCGTGCACGGTGCCCAGGCCGTCCCCTCGACGCAGCAGCCTCTTCTGCACGGGAGTGGACCCAGACCCCGACGTCATGATTGTATCACGACCTGGATGCCCCAAGGGTCTCGACCCATTTCGCGGGACCTGTTTTTCATCCCGAGTCGTGATTTGACGATCCCGCGGCCCATCAAGGGCCACCGGAGACCGAGAGGAGAGAACACCCTCCCGTCGCGATTGGTTCATTACTCGGGGGGTCCTCCTCCTCCTCCTCCTCCTCCTCCTCCTCCTACTCCTCCTCCTCCCCCTCCTCCTCCTCCTCATCCTCCTCCTCCTCCTCCTCCTCCTCCTCCTCCTCCTCCTCCTCCTCCTCCTCCTCCTCTGGGGAGCGCCGAGGTCTGCACCTGGTGTTCGAGTGCCTCGACATGGACCTGAGGATGTACCTCAAGAAGGCGGGCCCCCTGGCGGGCGATGCCCTCAGGAGCCGGCCGGGGCCCGCGCGGGAGTCTGGGGGGGAAGGGGGCGAGGCGTCTCTGTCATCCTCGATGTTCCTTCCGCCTCCTCCTCCTCCTCCTCCTCCTCCTCCTCCTCCTCCTCCTCCTCCTCCTCCCCTCCTTCCCGATCCTCGACGCTCCTCCTCGATCATCCGCCTCGATCATCGACCCTCCTCCTCGATCCTCCTAGGGTCGTCGATCCTCGACGCTGGGCGCATCCGGCAGCTCCCAGTGGTCTCTCGCGGGGGTCCGAGGGCCCCTCGAGCGCCTTCAAGCAACCTCTCGCTTGCTCCGATGAGCTTTCGGGAACCTCCAAAGACCTCCAGAAGCTGCATGCCCCACGGCGCATTTCAGAAGCTCCGAGTCTTCCAAAGGACCCCGTGTTGCCCAATGAATGAGCAGCGTCCCAGCGCTTCCACTCGAGCCAAACGCCCCCGACTCCTCCTGAGAGGCTTCAGGAGAGCCTCAGGGTCGTCAGGGAGACCCCAGGATAGCGTAGCAGGTAGGCCCGCGTTGCCTAGGTGGGTGATCTGGACGGCATGGTGAATGAGATCATTCACAAGCCAGCATTGGGCCATCTTGGAGCCATCTGGACGCCTTAGGAACCTGTCGGCAGCGAAAAGGCGAGAATTCAAAAGTCACTTGCTCCCCTAAGGTTTGGGGAAGGATTTTGGCCTCTCGGAGGCATCATTGGGAGACCTCATGGCCATGTTGGAGCTGTCTCGGAGCGGTCTTGGGGCCCCTTGGAGGCATACTGCAGGCCACATTGAGCCATATCCGGTCATATACGCTGTGCAATATTGCAGGCCGTCGTGGGCGAGTCTAGAGCCAGATTGGGGCATGTTGGACGCTCAGACCGGTCGCGCCCCCTCGTCCATACCTACGGGAGGGAGTTGGGCAATGGGGTCTTCTCCCCGCAAGAGAACAGCGGTGTTGAAGAGGAAACGCCTTAAGCCACCTCCGCCCAGAGGGGCTGGTGGGTTTATAGCTCGGTCCCTTATCTGTCCCTCTCTGACGCCCTCCGCCTTTGCTTTGTTGTGCGCTCTCCTTGAATTAGGATCTGGCCAGTGCTCGTTCGACCGTTGCCGCGGGTCCAGAGCTGCCCCGACACTGTGCTACCGAATTCTGGATGGGTGGAGACATACTTGCGTCAGCTTTCTGGTGCCAGGGACGTCGTCGGTCTCCCGCCAGAGCGCTCCTCAGCCAAATGTCTGCGACGATATGCTTGCAACGGGATGGCGGCAATGCGCTCACTTAGGCAGACATGTCTGGCACAAAGCTTTGCCTTCAGAGAAAAAAACTACCTTCAGCAATATGCCTGTTTTCAGTGATGTTTCGCGTCACGTGAAATATGCCTACCGTGCGCACCTGTTGCATGACGATCTTGGGTCATTCGACCACACCAGACCTGTCAGTCTGGGCCACTCCCCGATTCGCACAGGCCCGGATCTGCTCGCGTGTCGCTGCCCCTTTCCAAGGCAACGTCAGGGGGAAAAGGCTCACGGGGGGAGGATTGCAACGAAGGATTGCAAAAAAACGAAGGATTGCAAAAAAACCGAAGGATTGCAAAAAAAACCCTCCGTTGTTTTGCAATCCTTCGGTTGTTTTGCAATCCTTCGGTTTGTTTGCAATCCTTCAGGTTTTTGTTGCAATCCTTCGTTCAAGGGGGGGGGATGCGTCGACCCCCAATCACCCACTCATCGGCGGCAGGGGCCCGATAGCCCGCCCCCGCCACGAACGCTGGGTGTCGCTGCCGGGGACCTCTCCACGATGTCTCGCCAATTCGAGCGCGATGTCTTCTCCTCTGAGCTGGCCCCCCCCCTATCGCTCCCCCTCACCCCTGCGCGTGCTCGGCTCTACGGCCGCGAACGTATTGCTCTTTCAGTCAACTACTTTTTTGATGATGAGGAGGAAGAGGAGACTTCGGACGCAGCCAGCTTCAGGCTTGCGCCATAAAAAGGCCGCCAGCGTCTGCCCAGGCAAATGCTATGGCAGAAGAGTTTCGACATCTCTTGCTTGCTCTCCACGCGGGAACGAATAGCGAAGCCTGTGGTGAAGCGCTCCTCTGGCACAACACTACGCTGGACTGGACAACGAGCCCTGGGCTCAGTTGTCACTGCCCGCGCGAGCTGCACTGCAATGGATACCAAGCCTCCTCCTCCTCCTCCTTCTCCTCCTCCTCCTCTACCTTCCTCTGTCCCCCGTGCGACTAGGGCATTGAGGATTCCTGGACGTGCTCGTATCGTCAAGGTTTCAAGGAGGACCTGAGCAAATGACGGTACTTGACCGCCACTGCTCTAGTACCCTTATGCCGCCCAGACCGACCCCAGCTCAGAAATGCGCTCAGAAACGTGCTCTCAGAGGGGGAATTACCCTGGCGACGTACCCAACCCCTGCGCAAAAGCGGGGCGCAAATAGTTCAGGATACTTTATAAGGGGGCGATGACGGAGCGAGGGTTACATATGTCTGCAGACGGAATTCGGGAGACTCGCAGGACACTGGCTACAGGAAAAGGGCTTGATAAAGCTGATGATTTACAATTCCTGAGCACTCCTAGCCACTTCGAAAACGGGGATCACAGCAGGCCTCGAAAGTGGCGACAGGTTCACAGATCGCAGCCCCGCAGGGACGGCGAGGTCTCATTTGAATCTGCCCGTGGCCCTCACTGTGCTGGGCCCCCCAGCAGGCCTCGAAAATGGCGGCAGTTTCGCAGATCGCAGCCCCCCAGGGATGGCGAGGTCTAATTTGAATCCGCGCGTGGCCCTCACTGTGCTGGGCCCCCCAGCAGGCCTCGAAAGTGGCGACAGTTTCACAGATCGCAGCCCCCCAGGGAGGGCGAGGTCTAATTTGGATCTGCCGCGATTACCCTCTATGCTGGACCCCCCAGCAGGCCTCGAAAGTGGCGACAGTTTCACAGATCGCAGCCCCCCCCCCCAGGGATGGCGAGGTCTAATTTGAATCTGCCGCGATTACCCTCTATGCTGAGCCCCCCAGCAGGCCTCGAAAGTGGCGACAGTTTCACAGATCGCAGCCCCCCAGGAATGGCGAGGTCTAATTTGGATCTGCCGCGATTACCCTCTATGCTGGACCCCCCAGCAGGCCTCGAAACTGGCGACAGTTTCACAGCCCCCCGCAGGCAAGACAGAAAGAGGCAGGAAAGAGGCGGGAGGCGGGAGGAGGAAGGACGCGACCACACTGCTCTATTCAAAACGAATACCCAACCAAGGAGGGTTGGGAAAAAAATACCCTGGCGACGTACCCAACCCCTGCGCAAAAGCGGGGCGCAAATAGTTTAGGATACTTTATAAGGGGGCGATGACGGAGCGAGGGTTACATATGTCTGCAGACGGAATTCGGGAGACTCGCAGGACACTGGCTACAGGAAAAGGGCTTGATAAAGCTGATGATTTACAATTCCTGAACACTCCTAGCCACTTCGAAAACGGGGATCACAGCAGGCCTCGAAAGTGGCGACAGGCTCACAGATCGCAGCCCCGCAGGGACGGCGAGGTCTCATTTGAATCTGCCCGTGGCCCTCACTGTGCTGGGCCCCCCAGCAGGCCTCGAAAATGGCGGCAGTTTCGCAGATCGCAGCCCCCCAGGGATGGCGAGGTCTAATTTGAATCCGCGCGTGGCCCTCACTGTGCTGGGCCCCCCAGCAGGCCTCGAAAGTGGCGACAGTTTCACAGATCGCAGCCCCCCAGGGAGGGCGAGGTCTAATTTGGATCTGCCGCGATTACCCTCTATGCTGGACCCCCCAGCAGGCCTCGAAAGTGGCGACAGTTTCACAGATCGCAGCCCCCCCCCCCAGGGATGGCGAGGTCTAATTTGAATCTGCCGCGATTACCCTCTATGCTGAGCCCCCCAGCAGGCCTCGAAAGTGGCGACAGTTTCACAGATCGCAGCCCCCCAGGGAGGGCGAGGTCTAATTTGGATCTGCCGCGATTACCCTCTATGCTGGACCCCCCAGCAGGCCTCGAAACTGGCGACAGTTTCACAGCCCCCCGCAGGCAAGACAGAAAGAGGCAGGAAAGAGGCGGGAGGCGGGAGGAGGAAGGACGCGACCACACTGCTCTATTCAAAACGAATACCCAACCAAGGAGGGGGAAAAACTTCTTTTTGATGATGAGGGGAAAGGCCACCCGGACGCCTACCTCTTTGCATGCAGCGAGGGCCAGTTGAGAAAAGGGCGTCTCTCGTCCTGTTTGGGCCTCCGTGGGGTTCCCCGTCGCCACGGCTGGGGCCCGCCTCGAGGGAGGCGGGCAGGGACGTGCCCTGGGAGGGGCCCGACGACGGATGCTGAGCGGGACTGGGCCCGGAGGGCCGCCGTTGTATCGATCGGCCCTCGTTACGACCACCTGTGCTCTCACGTGAGACGCGGTCGCGGCGGCTGCCCGGCAGTGGAGGCGAGCCTCGGCAGACTCGAGTCCGGGCTCGGCAGCTGCGCGCGCGCGCACGGGTTGCGCCGGAGCGCCGCAGAGCCGCTCGCGTGCGCGGCCCGCTCCGCCTCGCCCTCTTCTCGAGGTGTACGGCTTCGATTCTGTCTCCCGTCCGACTCTCGATTCCGTCTCCCGTCCGGCTGCCCGACTCTCGCTCCCACCTTTCGGCCACGAGGCGGACTCAAGCCAGCGTCCCGCTGGAAACGACGCCAAACAACAACGACGACGACGACGACGAAGATGACGACGACGACGACGACGAAAACGACGAAAGCGACGAGACAACGACGACGCCGACGACAACGGTGGCAGCGCTGGGCAACGCGGGCGGCCTGATCCCTCTATGGGCCCTGGCACGCATCCGCGCGGCCCCCGTGTACGGGCTGGTCCGTCGAACCGGCGGGTGCGCGCTCGCTGCGCTTGCTCGTTTTCGGGGCGGGACAGGGGCACCCTGCGGGTCCCAAGAATATACATCACCACCACCTCCATTCCCCCTCCCTCCTCTGCTTTCCTCTTCCCGTCCTCTGTCGTGGGAGACGGATGGGTTTAGGGAGGTGGTGGTGGTGCATATTCCTTGGATCCGTCATGTCGCACCACGGAGTCCCAGAACTCACCTAGCGCGTTCCATTGCTCGCAAACTGCCTGCTCGCAAACGTTCGAAACACACATTTATGCATCGATGCGATGTATCGTGGATAACTCATGGCGGGTCCAGGCCATTTGCGAGTAGCTCCCTTGCGAGTAGTAGAACGCGCTCGTGTAAGAACAGTGGGATGAGGAGCGCGGGGTGCACTTACTCCAGGGCAGGAGGAGAATCCGCACCCAACCCCGAGTTCCACTGCAGTCGAGGTTGACTTATGTGTCGACCCTGCCGGCTCAAGGATGCCCTCGAGTCTTGTGTGTCGCGCCTCACGTCCTCTGCATTCCTAGGGCAAGGTGGCCCTCAGAAGGGTCTCGAGTCCTCTCGCGTGTCCTCTCCCATCAGGCTCGACTGCAGGTTCCAGAAAGGTGGCGTCCAGAGCAGCAGGGGGTGTCGGGAGCACATTGTTTGCGCGTGCGTCCGCAGGAGAGCGTCGCGCCAGTGCTTCGCTGGCATCGAGTTCTGCCACGCGTGCCGAGCTCGGCTGGACTATCAGCCCAGATCGTTCGATCTCGATGCCCCACCCGCCTGACTCTCATCGAGAATCACACATGTCAGTCACGTACGGTCCAACCCCGCACCAACCCAGTTGCTCTCACACCTACCCATCCAAGACCCTCCCTCCCTCCCACCCTCCCTCCCGCACCCACGCCCACACCTGATCTGCGCGCCCACTCGACCACCCTATGGATTGAACATGTGCCAAACACAAACTCACTCTCGGCGGCGAGCCTGGGGGGGAAATGAGAAGGGGCGGGCCTTCTCAGAAGGCTCGGAAGTCCGTTGGCCTTCTGAGAAGTTCCCTGAGCCTTCCACAAAAACACCGAAAACCCTTCAGAAGGCGCGAGGGCTTCTGGGAAGCCCCGGCCACCTTCTGAGACGGCCTTCTCTTTCTCCTCCTTCCGTTCTCCTCCCGCTCCTCGTCTCTTCTCACTCGGCTCGTGAGGCGAGCAGCACGCGCGCGAGCTTGCACCATGCTGATGTGAATGCGTTCGTCAAAAAATGTACTTCACCCCCTCGCTCGCCGCCGACATTCCTACACGCACACTCACCCAGGCCCAACATAACCCAGTGGTGACGGTCGGCCGGGGGTATATACGATTGAGGTCGGTTTCGGGGAGGGTGCCCTAATGTTCTTCGTGTTTGCTCGGGAGTTTGTCTGGATGCTGTTATGCATCGTGGGCATCGCTCGGACGTGTGCATTTTGTTGGCGAGGGCCACCCAGGAGCATATTGGATCATCTCGCGAAACAGAAAACACGCGCGAAACCGAAAAAAACGAGGAATGGACGTCCGAGATGGCGAGTTCTGTGAATCTTGGGGCAGGGTATCCTCGAATGCTCTTCAGTTTGGCCGGCGGAGGGTCTCACGGTCTCAAGGGATGTTCTTCTGTCATAGGTTTGGCCGCAATCGGTCCGCCTGAGGGTCACCCTCCCGTCCACAGACCCACCAGCCCCAGTCCTGACCCCGACCAGGCCACCCTCGCCCCCCGTCCCCAGCTGCTGGGCCTCATCCCTCTTCTTTCTCCTCCCCCCTTCACCCTCACCCCGGGTGTTGCGGCTTCCATTCCTCGCAAAGCACGTGGACCCCCACATCGCCAGACCACCTGCTCCACCTCTCCATTATCATCTTCGTTTTTGCTTTGCTCGGGCCGCAGCATCCTCCTCACCCTCTAGCCTGAGACTTCCTTACATGGTGTTGTCCAAACGCTTGACGCTTCTTACAGCTGCATGGATGGAGGGTCGCCCATCTCCGAGGTCGCGATGTCGCATCGACGACGCACACTTTGCTCACAGCGCTTACCAGGTAGAAGGGCGATCCCCTCCCCAGTATCGGGCGGCATCGCCATGTGCACGCGGTCAAGCATGGGTCTGGGCGGCGATGCGACCTCCAAAATAGGCAGGGCCCCCGCCATCTCGACTGTACCTTTCCTTGTGTCGGACCACGGGTCGCCGACGAAGTCCGAAGGAGCATCACCATTCAAGTTCCAGGGCTTCACAGGCCCTGAGCACGTGGCCGGCGGACGGGGACCTGATGTTTGTTGACGGGCGCTCGTCATAGTGGAAAGGATTACGCGCGCTGACTTGAGACGAGGAAGCGCACTGCAGTATCAGTGATGCTTGTTGGGTTTATGATGGTTCTCCTCCTCCTCCAGCGAAGTGTTGCATCCACGACGGCGGCGAAGCAGGGCGAGGCCAGAGGGCCTTTGGAGCATCGTCGAGGCAAGGGAGGCGAGGCGAGGTAACGGAGCAGAGACACTGGAGCGGAGGAGCAGACGGCAACGGAAGCAGAGGGTACGTTGCAGGGGAGCAGAAAATCGAGGCATACTAAAGGTGCGTCGTTCCCGTGCGCCTCTTGCACGGAACTCGGGCGTATGCCCAGGGGCATTATTCCTCTGTGTGTTGTTGTCCTTCCTCATGCTCATCCTTCTCATGATTATATTCCCCCTCGCTACCATACTCATCACAACCACCGCCATCAACACCAAGCATGATAATCCGTTTCCTCTTGCTCCTTCTTCCTCCTCCTCCTGGATTTTGGATTCTGGTGGCATCGGAGTCCCTAAGGACGCTGCAATCGCCCCCCCCCCCACAGCGGCCGTTGCCGCTGGGAAGGGGATCACACAAGTTACATGCAACGTAGTGAGCGGAAAAAAAAACACGTGGGACAAAGGAAGGACCCTCCAGAGGGCGGGGCCAGTGTGTCCCCCAGCGACCCCTGGAGGGGGGGGGACGAAGAAGAAGAAGAAGAAGAAGAAGACGAACGACGAAACGGCGAGGACGGCCTGCGAGTCACGGGCTCTCGGAGCGGGGGGGGAGGGGGGGAAGGGGGGAGCGGCGGCAGTTGCAGCGAAAGGTCGCGGCAACAGCTGCCAAATATTGATGGACGCGTGAGCTCCTCCTCCTGCACCTCCTCCTCCTCCTACTCCTCCTCCTCCTCCTCCTCCTCCTCCTCGTCCTTGTCCTCCTCCCCTCCTCCTCCTCCTCCTCCTCCTCCTCCTCCGTCTCGTCCACCTACAGCAGTTGAAGCCGGCAGTTCTGGCAGCACGGCGGTCGGTCCGCACGTATTGTTTGCGTCAGGCGGGCTCGTGGGGCGGCATTGGGCTCAGCTTGCACGCTCGACTCCTCCGACTCCTCCGTCGTCTGCTACTCCTCGTCCTCCTCCTCCTCCTCCTCCTCCTCCTCCTCCTCCTCCTCCCTTCTCCTTCTCCTTCTCCTTCCTCCTCCTTCCTCCTCCTCCCTCCTCCTCCTCCTCCTCCTTCTCCTCCTCCTCCTCCCTCCCTCCTCCGTTTCCTCCTCCTCCTCCCCCTCCGTCTCCTCGTCAGAATCCCCATCCCCCGTCTCCTCCATTTCCTCCTCCTCCTGTCCTCATTTTCCTCCTCTTCCTCCTAATCCTCCTCCTCCTCCTCCTCCTTGTCCTCCTCCTCCTTCTCCATATCCCCCTCTTTCTCGTCCCACTCCTCGTCATCCCCCTCCTGCCCCTCCTCCTGGCCACCACAGGGCCCCGACGTTGTCCCCCCCCCAGAGCCCCATCCCCCGCCGCTGCCACCACGCTCGGCGGTGTAGCTGCCGCTCTGCCGCTTGCCGAGCCCCTCTGCTGTTCTACATAAAGCAATCAGCAAACAAAGTTCAACTGCGACCCAGACCCAGACGACGGGTGGTCATTGGGCGGCGACGGCGAGCACGAGGCCGTCAGACCGCCACCCAGGCCCAGCTCCTTAGAACAGAAATAAGCGTAAGCACTGATCGGGGAACGAGCAAGCCAAGCTCAAAGACAAGCACGAAATCCACTTCGTGTGGTCGTTCTGACCCTCGGCATTGGTCGTCGAGCCGCCAGCGCGTAGATGACTTGCCACCGCGGGGAGGCGCCAGGGGGGCAGAAGCCGCTCGCGGCAGAGCCCGTGCGCACCGCCGAGGCGCCGCATCCTGCACCGCGACCTGAAGCCGCAGAACGTGCTCGTGTGCCTCAGGCAGCCAACCCCTGAGCCACAGGGCTACAGCAGGGTAACGCTCTGTCCTCCTCCTCCCTTCTCCTCCCTCCTCCCTCTTCCTTCCTCCTCCTCCCTCCCTCCTCATCCCTCCTCCTCCCTCCTCCCTCTTCCTCGACGAGTACGAGCTGCAAACCCAATTCGATTGAATTTGTTTCTCAAATCGTTGCGATGTGCACGCTTGCTTGTTTCAGAATCGGAGATGCCGGGAGGAGAGTGAATGCCATGGGGAACAGGAAAGACAAAAGTAGGCATCGCCGGGCCTCGACAAAATCGGTTCGATCTCGGTAGCGCAGGCGCTCACTTAAGGGAGGTGTGGGCGCCACTCTGTCACTGACACGCCGAAGATGCTTGGCGGTCAGTGGTTTCTTCCTCCTCCTCCTCCTCCTCCTCCTCCTCCTCCTCCTCCTCCTCCTCCTCCTCCTCCTCCTCCTCCTCCTCCTCCTCCTCCCCGTCCTCCTCCTCCTCCTTCTCCTCCTCCTCTCTATAGAAAAGCAAGACCTGGGCGCGCCACATTCGCCTCCAGAAGGTTGGGCCTGTTCTGGTCAAGAGGGGGAAGTGGTCTGAAAGACCTGCGCGGCGGCTTTCGGCTTGGTGGCAAGGCCCGGGGTCGCCTGCAGCGCTCGTGGCATCCCGCCCCCTTGGGAGCCAAGCTGAGCGAAGGCCGTTCCCCGCCCGTGGCCATCCGGGCAGGGTCGGCCGAGCATTGTGGCCTGCCGCGGTGCCGGGCGAAGTGCCCTCCCTCTCTCGGAGCGGAGGCTGCCTCCGAGGGTGGTCCTCGCTGCGGGCCCTGGAGCTGCCGGCTTCCGCGCCGCGACGGGGCAGAGGCGCCCGGCCCACGAGTGCTCGAGGCGCGTGCGGCGGCCGAGGCACAGCGCCCGGACGCCAGCACCGAGCTCGATCGAGCTCGGAAGGGCTCCCCGTCCGCTCCCCGCGGCCCCTGCAGCGGGAAGCGCACCCCGGGCACCTCCTCCCGCCTCCCCGTGCCTTGCCTTTGCCATCCTCGTCCTCACCCCATCCTCTCCCTCCTCGTTCTCCTCCCTTTGGCCTCCTCCGGATCCTGCTCCCGATGCCCGCGGCCTTCCCCCCCTCCTCCCCTCCCTCCCTCCGCCTCGCCCTCGTCCGCCGCCCTGTTGCCTCTTGGGTAGCCGCCCATCCCGGCGATCGATCTTCTACGGGAGCTCGCCGCGCTGCCGGCGCTTTGGCCGGGCCCCCCGGCGATCCTCCGCGCCGGGGGAGGCTTGCCGTCAGGACGCTCCAATGAGGGCCACGCTGGCAGGGCTCACTTCGATTCCTCTGGCCCTGTTCGATTCGAGTATGATGGCTTCCGATTCCGCTTCGACTGCGGATTCCGATTTGGATTTCGATCTCTTTATGGAGGCTTACCAGCCTGCCGATTTCCGCCGACTCGACGTCTCCCGACTCGGCTGCCGATTTCCGCCGATCCGACTTGCTTCGATCGCCGATCCGACTTCTCGATTCGATTCGGGGCTCTTCTGCTTTGGGCTCAGGAGGGGCTCTGGTTTTTCGGATCGGCCTTTCGATTCTGGACGTGGAACCAACTCGCGACCAAGACTCGCAGTGGCCAGAAAAGTCTTTTGCGCTACGGTAGCACGATGTCCGCATCTTGCGCGACCTCCGAAGGCCCAGTATGTTCGGCCCCGCTAGGGCCCGCCCCTCAGGAGCGGCACGACCGGATCCTCAGAGGCGGCTCCCGCGGGGAGGGGGAAGAGGAGGAGGAGGAGGAGGAAGAGGAGGAGGAGGAGGAGGAGGAGCAAGAGCAGGAGGAAGAGCAGGAGCAGAAGGAGGAGGAAGGGGTTAACGATGACGACGACGACGACGACGACGACGACGACGACGACGACGACGACGACGATGCTGGTGAGAACAACCAGGTCACCCCAGGGGCGCAAAAATAATCGCGCTTCGCGCGTTGCGGCCTGGACTGGAGAGCTGCCCCTCTCCAAGGTGGCCTCGCGAGGGCGCGAAGATATCCGCTCCTCTCGCATCGCGGGCGCGATATGCGAAGTCGGGCGACAGCACCAGGAGCAGGAGCAGGAGCAGGAGCAGGAGCGGGTGAGGACCCAGGAGGAGGGGTTCTCAGCATCTGCTTCTGCGATCGATTTGTACACAGGGTCTGACCTACTGGTACGTGAACCCTTCCCACGCGCCAGTCTTGCTGTCTCATAGGAACGTGCCGCGTACGCAGGCGAAGGAGGGGGGGATGTATGAGGAGGAGGAGGAGGAGGAGGAGGAGGAGGAGGAGGGGAGGAGGAGGAGGAGGAGAAGAAGCGGAGATTAGTGGCGAGGAGTACGTAGGGGGAGGAGGATCAGCAGCAGCACGAGCAGGACAAAGGCAAGAGAGTGGAGGGAGGGAGGGAGGGAGGGGGGAGCGGAGAGATGGGGGAGCACGACGAGCAGCGGCGGCAGTATATAGGGGTGGTGAATGCCATCCGTGGCGGTTGTCGCAGTGGTCGGGGCCCCGAGTGTGTTTGGCGTATCTACCCGCCCCTACTGCTCGGCGGCTCGATCAGAGCAAGTGATCCAGCAACACACCGGCCTGCTGAATCCGTGTGGTGGTTCGTCGCATGTGCAGCGTTCCAACGAGCGGCAGTGGCCATGACCCGGAGGGAAATGATGACGTCGGCGCCAGCCTGCAGTTCAAATGCACCTCGCAAGTTCATGAAGCCCGTCGCCAGCATACCGTGAGGGGTGCCAGTGGCGGCGAAGATGTGTTGGTGAATGTCGGAGGATGTTGGAGGAGGAGGAAGAGGAGGAGGAGGAGGAGGAGGAGGACGACGACGACGACGACCACGACGACGATGACGACGACGACGACGACGACGACGACGACGACGACGACGACGAGGGAGCAGTGAGGAGGGGGTCGAAGGTCGAGGGAGGGAGGAGCAGGAGGGCGAGGATGAAGAGGTTGAGGCAGCAGCAGCAGCAGCAGAAGCAGCAGAACGAGCTGGCGGCACCAGGGACAAGAGCAGGAGCAGGAGCAGGAAGGTGACACGAGGCAGTGCAGTGAGAGGGAGGAGGAGGAGGAGGAAGGAGGAGGAGGAGGAGGAGGAGGAGGAGAGGAGGCGGAGGAGGGAGGAGGAGGAGGCGGAGAGGAGGAGGAGGAGGAGGAGGAGGAAGAGGAGGAGGAGGGAGGAGGAGGAGGAGGGAGGAGAGGAGGAGAGGTAGGAGGAGACGGGGGTGAAGGGGAGGAGGAGGATATGGTGGAGGAGGAAAAAGGAGGAGTAGGAGGAGGCAGGAGGAGGAGGCGGAGGAGGACGAGGACGAGGAGGGAGGAGGAGGAGGCTCAGAGGAGGAGAAGAAGAAGAGGAGCGAGGAGGAGGAGGCGGAGGAGGCGAGGAGGGGGAGGGAGGAGGAACAGGCAGCGCAGCAGGAGCAGGGCAGGAGCAGGAGGCGGCAGAGGGAAGATGAGGAGGAGGAGGAGGAGGAGGAAGAAGAGGAGGAAGAGGAGAAGAGGAGGAAGAGAAGGAGAGGGAGGAGGAGAGGAGGAGGTGGGGAGGAGGAGGAGGAGGCGAAGGAGGAGAAGAAGGAAAAGAAGAGAGGAGGAAGGGGGAGGGGGAGGAGGAAGGAGGAGGACGGAGGAGGAGGGAGGAGGAGGAGGAGGAGGAGAACGGAGGAGAGGGAAAAACATGGAGCCAGGAGCAGAGCAGCAGCTAGAGCAGCGGGAGAGGTAAAGGGGACGAGGAGGAGGAGGAGGAGGAGAGGAGGAGGAGGAGGAGGAGGAGGAGGAGGAGGAGGAGGGGGAGGAGGAGGAGGAGGAGGAGGAGGAGGAGGAGGAGGAGGGAGGAGGAATAGGAGGAGGAGGAGGAGAGGAGGAGGAGGAGGAGGGGTGGTGGGGCGGAAGGGAAGGAGGAGGAGGAGGAGCGAGGGAGGAGGAGGAGGAGGAGGACGAGGAGGAGGAGAGGACGAGGAGGAGGCGGACGAGGAGGGAGGAGGAGGAGGAGGAGGAGGAGGAGGAGGAGAAGGAGGAGGAGGAGGAGGAGCAGGAGGAGCAGGAGGAGCAGGGGGAGGAGCAGGAGCAGTTGCAGGAGCAGGAGCAGGAGCAGGAGCAGCAGCAGGAGCAGGAGAGGGAGCAGCAGCAGCAGCAGCAGCAGCAGCAGCAGCAGCAGCTGCAGCAGCAGCAGCAGCAGCGGGAGCAGAGAATGAGGGCGAGGAGTAGAGAAGGGAGGAGGACGAGGGCGAGGAGACGGCAGGGCGATCGCGGCAGCGGAAGTAGCGGTCGCGGAATTGGCAGCCCGGTGAGGACCCGCGGCTCGTGTTGGCAGACTTCGGCCTCGCGCGCGTCTTCTCGGTGCCGCTGCGGGTGTACACGCACGAGGCAGTGCCACCCCGGGCGGGGTCTTTGCTGCTGGTCCTCCTCCTCCTCCTCCTCCTCCTCCTCCTCCTCCGCCGCCTCCTCCGCCTCCTCCGCCTCCGCCGCCTCCTCCGCCTCCTCCGCCTCCTCCTCCTCCTCCTCCTCCTCCTCCTCCTCCGCCTCCTCCTCCTCCTCCTTCTCATCCTCTTCCTCCTCCTCTTCCTCCTACTCTCGCCTCCTCCTCCTCATCAGCATCATCATCAATCATCAGCCATCATCTCCGCATCATCCATCCTCCTCCTCCTCCTCCTCCTCCTTACTCCTCCTCCTCCTCTCCTCCCTACTCCTCCGCCTCCCCTTCCCTCCTCCTTCCTCCGCCTCCTCTCCTCCCCTCTCCCCTCCTCTCTTCCTCCTCCTCTCTCCTGCTCTTCTGCCTTCTCCTCATCATCCTCGTCGTCCATCCTCCTCCTACTCCTCCTCCCCCCCTTCTCCTCCTCCTCCTCCTCCTCCTCCTCCTCCTCCTCCTCCTCCTCCTCATCATCCTCCTCCTCCTCCGCCTCCCCTTCCTCCATCTCGCCGCCCATCTTCTCTTACTCCTTCCCCCTCTCCTCTCTCGCTCGCATCTCCATCTGCCGTTCCCGGTCCACCCACGCGCGCGCAGGCCCCTTCGCGCGGGGCCCGGCCGTCGCGTGAGTGGGGCCTTCTGAGGGCCATTGAGAACCTCATCCAGAGACGTGGAGGAGGAGGAGGAGGAGGAGGAGCAGGGGAGGCCACCTCATCATCCAAATCATGCTGAGGCCGAAGGAGGAAGAGAAGGAAGTGGAGGGAGCGTCTGGGCCGATCAAATGATGTAGAAGTTCAGCGCTAAATTGAAGGAGCCGTAGTATCAGATGTGTAACGATGTACTTGTATGTCCTTGTCCGTAGCGTTGTAGGTCGTAAAATTGTCCGGCTTCGGGTAGACCAGTCTCGCCGTAAGTAGTTCGGTTTGCGGAGTGCCGCGCGCTGGAGACGGCACGTAGTGCCATCCAGCCAGCGGACTGTGACGGACGTCTCGTCCAGCATCTCCACGACGCAATATTGGTGCGTCTTGCCGAGCCTGCCCTGTATTGCGTCGCCGATGACGATCGGCTTCCTGGTAGTCCAGGTCTTCGTGGGCCTTGATGTTCGTCACGTGGACCTCGTAGTACAGAGATTGGCCCTGGTAGTTCTGCTGGCGATCCCCGTAGCCCTGCAGGTGGCTCCCGTAGCTCAGCGCGTGTCGGTCGCAGCTCAGCTGGTGGCCTTGGTAGCTCTACTGCCAGGTCTTGTTGAACAGCAGGTGGTCCTGGTATGATCTAGTAGGTCTCGTAGCCCTGCTTACGGCCCGCGGAGCGCAGTTTGTAGCTCCGCTGGTTGGCAGTTCAGTTCAGCTCGTTGCCGTGGTAGCTCAGCAGGAGGCTCTCGTAGTTCTGCTTGCGGACCGCCTGGCACGGGTTGTGGCCCTCGTAGCTGCGTGGGTGGGCGTCGAAGCTGAGCAGGTGGTTCACGGAGCTCTGCCCCAGGTCCTGTTAATTAGTTTGTTGCTCTGGTAGCTTTTCAGGAGGCTCTAGTCGTTTTTCTTGCGGTCCTCATGGCTTCGCTTGTGGCCCTCGCAGCTCAGGAGGCCCAGTTGGTTGCCCACGTAGCTCAGCGGGTTGCCCTCGTAGCTCAGGCTGAAGCGTGGTCGTCGCAGCCATCGAATACGTGCTTGTGGTCCTCGTAGATGAGCTGGCAGTCTTCGAAAGTTTGTTGGAAGCTCTTCTAGCTCAGCAGGCGGCCCAGGTAGCTCCACCAGTAGTTCCCGTAGGGCAGCTTTAAGCTGACGAATTGGCAACAGCTTCACTGATGGAGGGCGGGTCGCTTTCAACATGTGGCTTTCCGCCGCGCACACTCGCTTAAAACAATTTGCAAGAACCCCACGGATTGAGGACAGGTCGTTTTCAGAATATGCCGCTCGCCGTAGCAGCGCGCGCACTCGCTTGCAAAATTTGCAAGGGCCTCGCGGATTGAGTACAGGTCACTTTCAAAATGTGGTTGTCACCGTAGCGCCGCGCACACTCTTTTGCAAAAACTGCGGGATTTTCACGGATTGAGGGCAGTTCGTTTTCAAAATGTGGTTCCCGCTTTAGCGCCGTGCACATTCGTTTCAAAGAATTGCAAGAGTTTCGTTGGTTCTCATGATCATGGCTGAAGTTCGAGACATGGCGTTTTGGAAAGATTCAGGGTTGTCAGGGCGCAACAGTCGCGCTGATTCGCGGTGTTGAAGTCCCAGGAATGGCTTTCTGACACGACTCAGGATCGCCAAGATGCAACAGTCGGCGTTGAAGTCCTGAGAGTGGTGTTTTGGCACGCGCCATGATTTACGCACGGCTGTCCCCCAACGGCGCACTTCCCTCAATGGAGATGAACCTTTGTATGGGGCCTATGAAGAGGGAGCTTGGAGGGAGTGTGTATTCCAGCATCGTTGATGAGTCGTGGGTTTACACTGGTCCTCCTCCTCCTCTTCCTCCTCCCCCCCGGGGAGGAGGGAGGTGAGAGGGAGAAGGGGAAGGGGAGGAGCATCAGCATCATGATGACCATCATGACCATAATGATTGTCAGGATCTTCATAGTTATCATGATCAGCATGGCCATCAGCACCATCAGCCCCGCTATGGTCATCATGGTCATCGTCATTATCAGCATCAGCATCATCAGCAGCAGCAACATTATTATCATCATCAACATCATGCTCACCATTGTCATGATCAGCAGCATAACCACCATCATCATCAGCATCATTATGATCACCATCATTATCGTCATAGTCATCGTCGTCACCGCCTATGTCGTCATCATCATAACCACTTCCATCATCTTCAACGTCACCGTTATTTTCGTCGTCGTCGCCTTGCTTCCTGCCGGCTCGTTTTCCTCCCACCTCCTTTCTGTCCGGGTTCATCTTGTTGCATAGTCCTCCTGCTTCGTCGTTCGCCTCCTTCACCCCATCCACCATCATCACCTCCTTCTGCCTCCTCCTGCTCGTCCTCCTGCCTCCTACTAAGTGTCCTCCTCCCCGACGTGGTCCTTGCTCTCGCCTTCGCCTGCAGCCCTATCCTCATGCTCATCCCCATCCTCCTCCTCTTACTCCTTCCCATCCTCATCATCGTTAGCATCATCATCATCATAACCACCAACATCAGCAGCATCAGCACCATCATCGTCAGCTTAATTGGTGAGTTGACTTTGCGATGTGTTTCGGTCTCTGGGCGTCGGCACGTGAAGGCATATGTTCATAGGATCCGAGGTGGTTGTCTCATCAAGACCAGCTTGATATTGAAGGTCTCGAGCGGCTGGCCGACAATTTCTGCCAGCTCGAGCAGGATACGTTTCATTTCCATACCCTCCTTAACTTTTGTCTGACTGGAGCTAGGCTTGCTGTGCTCACGCGCCAGTCCTGAATGTGACGCGCTGGTGTGTTCCAGTTACGGCATCCCAGATTGTCTCTTGGGTATCGCCTCTTGGGCAGTATGTGGTGTGCTACGGCTCCGGCCTCCCAGAGTGTCTCTTGGGCAGTGCGTGGTGGACTTCGGCGTCGGCGCCCCACATTGTCTGTTGAGTACGTGGTGCGCTACGGCTTCGGCGTCCCAGATTGTCTCTTGGGCAGTATGTGGTGCGCTACGGCTTCGGCAACCAAATTTGCCTGTTGGGCAGTATGTGGTGTTCTGCGGCATCGGCGTCCCTGATTGTCTCTTGGGAGTTTCGTGGTGGACGGCGACTTCGGGGAGTGTCTCTTGGGAACACGCGGCGTTCGTCGGCTGTTTCTTCGCGGTGAGACCTCGCACCCGCTTTTCTTTTTCCGTTGTGCCTCGAGTCGTCTTGTCCCGTCGTTCGGTCGCCTCTCCTCTCGCGTCCTGTCCCCCCGCGTTGTCGTTTCTGCGCTTTGGGTTCGTCGCTATTTTCCCCTCGGCCTCGCCCCCCCCCCCCCTACCCCCTCGTTCCCTCGTCGCCCTCCGCGCGCATCTGCAACTTGAGAACAACATCGCGGTTGTGTTTTTCCGCTTCATACATAAAAACGTCAGCATCAGCAGCACCATCACCATCAGCATCACAATAAGCGCTACCATTATCCGAACCGCCATCGCCAACGCAACCATCGCCATGACGATCCTCACCAGCATCATACTCACCGTCGTCGTCATCACCAGCGTCGCCACCAGCATCATCACCCAACTCATCACCACCATCGTCAGCGTCACCATCATCACCGCCATCAGCAGCATCACCGTCACCGTCGCCGTCGCTGCCGCGCCGTTCGTCGTCGCGAGGCGGAGGGGGGAGAGCAGGAGGGGGTGGGGAATGCGCTCGCCCGCGCCATGATTCGTCGTCGTCGCCGTCCATCGAAGAACGGATGCGGGAAGAGACGGGGAGAGAGGAGAATAATGGGCGGAAATACAAACGAACAAACACGTCAGTCAGATGGCGGCCGTTGGTCGTCGAGCCCGCAGCGGCGCGTTGCTGCAAAACCCAAAAAGGCTCTTCAGACGCCTCTAGAGGCTCTTCAAGAGGCCCCAAGATGTTCCTCAGAGCCCCCAAGAAGCTTTTCGGAGGCCCCAAGATGCTGTTCAGAGGCCCGAGAGGCTCTTCAGAGGCCCCATGAAGCTCTTCCAGAGGCCCCAAGAGGCTCTTCAGAGGCCCCAAGAGATTCTTCAGAGGCCCCAAGAAACTTTCCAATGGGGTCCCAAGAGACTCTTCAGAGGCCCCAAGAGGCTCGTCGGAAGCCACAAGATGCTTTTCAGAGGCCCCAAGAGGCTCTTCAGAGGCCCCAAGAAGTTTTTAAGAGGCCCGAAGAGGTTCTTCGGAGGCCCCAAGAAACACCGAAGGGTGGCCAAGAGGTTCGCCAGAGGCCCCAATAGGCTCTTCCAGAGGCCCCAAGAGGCTTGTCAGAGGCCCCAAGAAGCTTTCCAGAGGCCCCAAGGCGCTGTTCAGAGGCCCCAAGAAGCTCTTCAGAGGCCACAAAAAGCTCTTCAGAGGCCCCGAAAAGCGGCACAAAAAAAACCACCTGGCCGCAGCAGAACCTTATCTCGTAAGGAGAGAGGAGGCGTCTTAGAAGCGCCGTTGCCTCTTAGAAGGCACGGGCCTTCTCTGTAGATGCAAGGCCCGCGCCTTCCAAGAAACATCCTCCCTCTGCGAAGCCTCCCTCCCTCCCTCTGCGCGCCACCGACAAATGCTCTCGAAAAAAGGCCTCGAGACCCTTGGGCAGGCTGCGAGTAAAATCCTTCGGCGCTGGCGCGCCGCCTTCGGTAGGCGCGGAGGCGGGGGGCGCAGGGCCGTTGCTGCCGAATCGCACGCAGCGGTCGGCGGGCCGTGCGCGCCAGAGGCCGCGCCTGCTTGGGGCCGCTCTTGCGCGTGGCCGACCGTGCACCGAAGAGTCGTGTCGTCGTCGTCGTCGTCGTCGTCGCCGTCGCCGTCGCCGTCGCCGTCGCCGTCTCCTTGGGGCAAACCGACTCCGTAGCCGATCCCCTACTCGAGTCGTCGGAGGTGTTGGTCCGTGTGCGCTCCTCCTTGGCCAGGCTTGCCTGCCTCGGCGGCCGGCACTGCTGCACGACCGTGGCAGGGTCGTCCCGCGGCTCGCGGATTCGACGCGCGCGTGCTCTCGTCAAAGACGGTGTCGTTCGTCGTCGTCGTCGGCGTCGTCGTCGTCGTCGTCGTCGTCGTCGTCGGCGTCGGCGTCGTCGTCGTCGTCGTCGGCGTCGTCGTCGTCGGCGTTTTGTCGTCGTCGGCGTTTTGTCGTCGTCGGCGCGGCGTTGGCGCGCTCCTCCCTGGCCGTGCCCGCTTGCCACGGCGGCCGGCACCTGTCTGCACGGCCGCGGCGGGGGCGTTGTCCCACGGAACGCGGGCTCCACGCGCGCGCGTGCTCGCGTCAGGAATGCTGCACGTGCCCTGCCTGATGGAGGATGACGATTAATAAATGACCGGGGGTCGTGTTCACGCGGCGGCGCCCGGGATGACGATTAGGAAAAACCGGCCGCGGGCTGGACAATTATTTCTTTGAATCGTTCTCCCCCAGTCAGAAAATGGTGCAGACATAGCAGAAAATTATGTTTTAATCTTTCTCTCCCATTTTTTATTAATCGCCATCCCGCATTACAGTCCTTGCTCGCTTGTTCTCTCCGCTGCTCCCTTGCCAATCGTCCGGTGTCTTGCTTGATGGTGTTGCTTGTTTCAGGCGGGGGCACAGCACACAGACGCAATTCGTCGTCGACTCCCCGGAAGAGATGGGAAAATATGGGAAGTAGGGGGCGAATACGAAAACCCAAAATAGAGAATCATGGGATTTGTGTCTATCCATTTGAGTGTCCCAGGGCCCCCTCATTGCTGTTATTATGATGATTCGTCTCCCATTGGCCGAAGAACGAACGGCATACACATAAAATGTTGGCACTCCGCGCGGAGTGCCAAAATTTTATGTTTATGCCGTTGTTGTTCCTCTAAGTGCCGCGTTCTTTTTGTGTGACCGCTTGTGCGGCGTTACCGGGTTGACATTGACACGCAGGCGTCGTACCCGCCTGCACGCAGTTCGAATCCACTTCGCCTCTCCCTCCCCCCTTGTTCCTTTGGGGTAGAGGCTGTTTCGACGTAGCTTTGAGGATGCATGAGTCTATGACCAGAAAGTGCGCATACGCGTTGCATGGACGCTGTTATTGCCACGGGGCCTGGGGGCCACCCGCACCCCAAGGAAAGAGAGATAGGGTTGGCCGCGAGCCCGAGGGGAAGTCTTCTCAAAGGTGGCGGAGCTTCTCAGAAGGTCTGCGGCCTTCTGAGAAGGTGCCTGTGTCTTCGGAGAAGGCGTAGAAGACTTTTCAGAAGGCGCGATGGCTTCTGAGAAGCCCCGCCGCCTTCTGAGAAGGCCTGCCCCCTCTCACTTCCCCCCAGGGCTTCCCGCCGAAAGGATTGTGTGGGGAGCACTGCCTGTAGCTAGGAGTTTGAGCAGGTGGGGCCCGCACAAAGAGTTCGGAAGACCGCAGCATGCGCTTGCTGGAGCTGTGCCCAGGTCGTCACGCTCTGGTACCGGGCCCCGGAGATCTTGCTTGGGCAACCGTGGTACGGCCCGTCCATGGATATTTGGTCCTTGGGATGCATCGTCGCCGAGATGGCCACCAGCCAGCCGCTGTTTCCAGGACAGGCGCGCAGGGGGGTTGCAGCCTGGCTTCGGAAACAGGCACTCGGACAGTTGTAGGGAGAGTCGGGCCGGACGAAAGGGGGGGATTGGGAAAGGGGGGGTTACGAAATTTGCTGCATGCAGCTGGTTTCGGCCCCACCGAGGGGCCCATTCCTCGATACATAGTCGCTTCCGGCGCCGGGAGGCGCCAGGAAAATCAGCTAGTGAGCTGATTCTCAAACCCCCCTTTTGCTATCCCCCCCTTTCGCCCGACCCGAGAGAGGGACGGTGCCACGTGCGCAAAAGCCGCGCACGCCGTCCAAGCAGCGCTTGCACTTACGGTTCTCGCTCGCTTGGCAAAGCATGGCACGTGTGGGGCGGGACGTTGGTATGACCTCGACGGTTCTCTCCCCGTCTTCGCCTGGACCCTAATATGGGGCCTCCTCCCTCCTCCCTCCTCCCACCTCCCTCCCTCCTCCCACCTCCCACCTCCCTCCTCCCTCCTCCCTCCTCCCTCCTCCCGTTGGGCCTGACACGATGCGTGGTGAGGTCGCAGATAACAAGTTCCGAAACGGCCCCATAGACTACACCCCCGAATCTTGAAGGTATCAGGCAAAGACTCGGAACTTTGAGTGAGAGCCTCTCATCTCTACGCGCCAGTGACAGGTTGTCGGAGCCACCGTCGCCCACGCAGTTGAGAGGTGGCGTGCCTTCGTGAGCGGTTTGGATGCATGCTGGGTGGGCATTGCAGCATCTACAATTTAAATGTCCAATTTGGGCTTTGCCAGGGCCGGGATGCCAACGAAATTGTCCTAGCCAACGGTGACATAATCGTCCAATTCTCGCGGGCGGAGGGTGTGGGAATCAGATGCTCATGAAAGCGCTCAAAAAATCAATGCCGATCGAGGGTAAGCAGTCATGGCTCCAGCTGGCGATCCAGGCTTGCTTCAACACGTTGGGTTTGTACCCCAGATCCCTAGATGAAGAATCTCCCAGAATCCAAAGCTTTCTGGCAATAACGACGCGTAGGGCTACCACGCTGTCCGGCTCTCGAAATTCCTCGAAATTCTTACCGAATGTTGATCACGCCATTATGCCAGTAAGCCGATTCACGGTGGGATTCGGTTCTTTGGTCAGATTTGTTGGGGGAACACAAGACGTGCAGATGCCTTAATTCAGATTGGAAAGAGCCGTTGTCATGTCAGGGTTCGTCTTAGTAGTGGCACGATCCGGGAACGTTCTGGATATGTTGTTGCCATGCTTGTGTTCGAAGTTCGTATTTCAGTCGGCTGGGATTTCATTGCGGCACACATCCTGTGCAACTCGTTTGAACGTACTTCATACATTTCTGCTCCTAGAGGTGTTCATTTAGACTATAACCACCCACCCCCGACCACCGACCCACCCACCCACCCCACCGAAGCCAGGGGTATCCGCTCCCCTCCGCGTAATGCTTTTTGCAGATTTACGATGCACCGTCGTTTAATCGGATGGCCTTCGGCCCATCCCGCCACCGTGCCTGGGTTGTGGGCCACAGGCCTCTAGGATGTTCGTTGGGATGTCGCGGGAAGCCTTCTGGGGGCCTCTTGGAGGCCGTTTGAGGCCTCTTGGGGGCCGTTTGGGGACTTTCTGGGGCATCTTCGGGGCCTCTTGGGGGTCTCTTGGGGCCTCTTGGGGGTCTCTTGGCGCCTCCTCGGAGCCTTCTGGGAGCCTCTTGGGGCGAAAGACTCGGATTTTCAGTTCGCGTTCCACCTCTTGGACCCTTTTTGGTGCTGTCTTTGGGCCCTCTTGGGCCGTCTTGGGCGCCTCTGGGGCCGTCTTGGGGCTTTCTTGGGCCGTATTGTGGCCCACCTGGGGGCCTCTTTGGCCGTCTTGGGGCGGTCCTGGGGGCCTCTTGGGCCGTCTTCGAGCGTCGGGCGCTCGAAAAGTCGAGGACCCAAAAATCACTGAAAGCGCCAGAGCCCAGGAGAACCGCGACAAACACAAGAAGTGTTGGCAATTCGGGGTCCGGGACCCTGAAAGACTCCTTGGGATCGAGGAAAGAGGCTCAGGGGATTGGGCAAAGGACCTGGGGACACGCCCATTCCGTGCCCAGCCGCACGGCGGCGTATTTCTACAAACAAATACCGCAATGTCAGCTTGGCCTGTGTCGCTTCCCCCTACGCATCCCTGTCAAATGATCAGATGCGGTAGACACGCTTTAATGTAACGATTGCGTTGCGTCATACTCGACCATGCGGCCACATGCGCGTGCCCCCGCGCAAGCGTGTCAAACTCACTCAACAGCCGCTGGTCCGTCTCACCATTGGAAAGTAGTTACGCCACAAGACACAACCTGTTTGGGATTTTTGTTCACCAACCAGTTGCCAGGACTCTCTTTGTGCGCTCGCTGAAAACGTAAGATTACAGCTGTTTCGTGATACCGTCGAAGATACCATGCGGGCCGCATGCGCACGCACACCGAAAGCACTGAACAATCACCGCGCGCCCTTGCCAGCCCCGTCGTACGCGCACAACTGTGTGTTCCCCGAGGGTGCTAACACAGAGATGTTCCAAAACACACGATCATCAAATAATTGATCCGTGACCTGCCAGGGTTCTTGCGCGCGCACTTCCTCGTCGTCCTCACCAGCACCAGCGGCATCATCGTGACCAACGTCGCCATCCTCAATATCGTTACCACCATCATCTTATTTTCATCACAGTCACAGTCGTCGTCGTCATCACGCCCACCGCCGCCATCAACATCGTCATCGTCATCGTCGATGTCGTCGCCCTTGTCGTCAGCGCCACCCTTATCATCATCATCATCATCATCATCATCAGCATCAGCATCATCATCATCATCATCATCATCAGCATAATCCTCATCCTCATCATGATCATCATTATCATCATCATCCGCATCATCCGCATCATCATCATCATCATCATCATCATCATCATCATCATCATCATCATCATCCGCATCATCATCATCAGAATCATCATCATCATCAGTAACACTCGCCTTGCCGAGTCATGGGTCTGCATGAGACGGAACCCCGCGTCATTGTGCCAGTTG